CAGCTGTCCATTCAGACCGTGCCACACTTCTACCTTTCTGCTGACGCTCCCCTCAATGCTGCCGCCAAGTGCGTTCCCTGCACTCAGCATGCACTCAGCATGCACGCACATGCACGCACATGCACGCACATGCGCGCACACACACATAAAGGTTGAGCTACCATTTACAGACGCTTGTGCTTGCTTGCACACACCATTCACACGTGCACACAAATTTGCTTGCCTACACGCAGTCTAATTTGACCTCCCTCTTTCTCCTAGCCCATGTAATGTCTCGACTTCAATTTCTGCCACAACACATGTCATCTCTGCATCTCTGTACATCTCTCTGCATCTCTGTGAACCTCTCAGGGTGTTTGGAGCAGCTGAATGCAGCATCTGATGTGCAGGTCACCTCTACCGCTCTACTCATCAAGGTATGTGGCACTCTCGGGCATGGCATGTCCCATGCATGTCTTGTGCATGCGCTGCTATTTGTACGTCACACAATGCCCGCGTCCACCTACACAATCTTTCTTTCTTCAACCCTTTTTTCCTGCATTGTACAACAACAGGCTGCAGCGCTGGCTTCCAAGAAGGTTCCTGCATGCAACAGCTCCTGGGGTGGAGAGTTCATTCGCGAGTGAGTCACTTGCTGCCCGCCCCGTGGGCCTTTGTACGACATATACAACAACAAGATGTCTCACCTGCAGGAACATGCCTCACCTGCAGGACGATGCCTCGCCTGCAGGAAGATGCCTCGCCTGCAGGAAGATGCCTCGCCTGCAGGAAGATGCCTCGCCTGCAGGAACATGCCTCGCCTGCAGGAAGATGCCTCGCCTGCAGGAAGATGCCTCGCCTGCAGGAAGATGCCTCGCCTGCAGGAAGATGCCTCGCCTGCAGGAAGATGCCTCGCCTGCAGGAAGATGCCTCGCCTGCAGGAAGATGCCTCACCTGCAGGAAGATGCCCATCGCCTGCAGGAAGATGCCTCGCCTGCAGGAAGATGCCTCGCCTGCAGGAAGATGCCTCGCCTGCAGGAAGATGCCTCGCCTGCAGGAAGATGCCTCGCCTGCAGGAAGATGCCTCGCCTGCAGGAAGATGCCTCGCCTGCAGGAAGATGCCTCGCCTGCAGGAAGATGCCTCGCCTGCAGGAAGATGCCTCGCCTGCAGGAAGATGCCTCGCCTGCAGGAAGATGCCTCGCCTGCATGAACATGCCTCACAGGCAGACCCCCTGCCTGCCTGCCTTCCTGTCTCTCTGCACGCAGCCGTTCGTGTATCCCTGCCCACCATCCATCACAATGGAATATGGTGTGTGTGGCTCAGGCATGGCTGTCGGTATGTATGTCTAATCATGTGTGTGTCCCATGTGCATGTGCGTCCCCCATGCCTCTGTGTGCATGTGCGTCCCCCATGCCTGTGTGTGCATGGCATGGCATGGCAGGTACTCCGATGTGAATGTGGCGATCGCTGTCTCCACACCTGACGGCACTTTGTACCCCGTCATCAAGGTAACGAGCTGTCATCATGTAACGCCGCGTAATGGTAACGCCGCGGCCGCGTAATGATAACGCCATATAATGGTAACGCCGGGCCGCGTAATGATAACGCCGCGTAATGGTAACGCCGCATAATGGCAACACCGCGTAATGGTAACGCCGCGTAATGGTGACGCTGCGTCATTGTAACGCCATGCTTTACCATCCCTTTTCAGCTGCTCATGTCTTGTCTTCTCACCCATCCTGCACCCTGCACTCATTCCCCCTGCCCCCTGCCCCCTGCCCCCTGCCCCCTGCACCATACGTGCTGCTGCGTCCCTGCAGGCGGCCAACACCAAGGGCCTGGCCCAGATCGCATCGGAGATCAACCGCCTCTCCACTGCAGCTGCGGAGAAGACTCTCTCCGAAGCTGACCTCCAGGTTCGTAACTCCTTCGGTCTAAGTATGGTTACAGGCTCGGTGTCATGTGTGCGGATCAAGGGGTTAATCACCTGATTGATTAATGAGGTTGGCTCGGAGAATGCTGGAGGGCAATGCCAGTCAAGGTGATATCAATGCATGACGGTGGGGTGAGCTTCACCTTTACTAGCATGGTGGGGAGCGGGGCACACGGTGGGACGAGCTTCACAATCCAAAAGCAGGCAGTCACATGTTGGCTAGGAACAAAGACGGGTTTCAGAAGTCATGCCTTTCTTGCCACCCTCCTCCCCACGCTCACAGGGTGCAACATTCACAGTGTCGGATGTGAGTGGAGCAGGCCTCAAGTCTCTCTCCGCCATCATCCACCCCCCCCAGTCCTGCTTCCTCACCATCGGCTCTGGTAAGTGTGCCTCTGCTCCTCATCCTCCCCCCGTGCTTGCTCTTACACCGCATGTGCTTACACCGCATGTGCTTACACTGCATGTGCTTACACTGCATGTGCTTACACTGCATGTGCTTACACTGCATGTGCTTACACTGCATGTGCGCTCGCACCTCGTGTGCTCACACACACCTTATCGATCAGCAATTTATGCAATCATGCATCACATGGTCACTCATTTTCTGCACCTCACTCTCCACCGATCTCTCACATCCTGCCACTGGCGTGCCTGTCACCCTCTGCAGCGCAAGAAAGGGTGGTGCCAGGAGCAGCAGAGGGGGAGTTCGCGGTGCAGCCCTTCGCTACAGTCACTCTCAGCTGCGACCACCGCGTTGTCGACGGTACGTTGTGGGTGGTATATCTCGGATGGGCCTCGGATGGCATGTGGATTGGCCTCCGGCCATAAGTCAAGCCTCCATTCACTTAATTGCAATGAAAACCACGTATCTTGCGAACGAGCTTTTGGGTGAACAGATCAACTGGGTCATTCTGTATTCTTCTACTGATTCTCTTCTGTTCCCCCCTCTTCCATTGTGGTGTTGCAGGGGCGGTGGGAGCGCAATGGATGGGCGAGTTCAAGTCGTTGCTCTCCAACCCCATCACCTTGCTCCTCTAGTTATCAACCATTAGTAGATTCTTGCTCGTTACCTCATCGTCGCCACTCCCTAGCTCGCTATATGTTTCCAAGTACCGGTGATGCAGAAATTGCTAGCAGCATATTGGTCCAGGTGCGGATGGTCTTAGAACATGTGGCTGACCAGTTCGTGCTGGTTCTCATACTGAAGGAGCTAGGCAAGGGAAAGGTTAGAACAAAAATTGTGTTCTGATCTAGTATAAAAATGTTAACATAGATGCGGCGGATTTTAGCAACTGTAATATCTGAAACGCGTCACTGCACAACAAGTCAACGCGTTTGCATGTGATTTCATCACAACAACCATCCGAGTCTGGGTCCAGAAACCTGCCATGCCATGATGACTGCCATGCAGCTGAACCTGCCTCCCCATACTTCCACCAAAACTACACGGATTCAACACACCGCACCGCATCATCTCCCAACCTGGCCCAGCGTACTGAATTTCCGCCTTACCTGCTGACTTCGTGCGACCTTTTCCTTCGCCCGCTCATCCATTCGTGCGACACACGCGTGGGTGAAGCGCGCCGAGCTTCTCACGCCAGAGGATCCTTCTCGGCACCCCCTGAGTCAATCAAAAGCCAGTTGCTTTATGATACCGATCGCGGACCACCATTGAAGCGCCTCTTAGGTTGCTTGCCGCTAGGGGATCCTATAAGGTGCTTCACGTTTTAGCGGCTGCTGACGCAGTGTCGAGTTTATTGCTTCTAGTGGACTAGCCTCTAGTGGTGTGGCTTCTAGCGGTGCGGCTTCTAGCGGTGCGGCTTCTAGTGGTGCGGCTTCTAGCGGTGCGGCTTCTAGTGGTGCGGCTTCTAGTGGTGGAGATTAAAAAGCCTAGTTAACGGATGCAGGATCCTAGTTAACGGCTATTAGAGTCGATCCGACGGAGCGGCGCGCATGGCGGAGTGGCGCACGTCGACCCACTGCAGCCGTTGGATCTTCAGCGCCGCTGAGCTGGCGACGATGCGCGCCAAGAACAACCAGCGGGCCGTCGATGCCATTCAAAAGGTGCGCGAAGAAGAGGCGTGCGCGGGAAAGGGGTCGATGCTACTCAGAGCGTGTTGGGAGGGTAGAGATGGTGGCGTGGAATGGGAGTGAACGGACGGGCTGGATGGGTTGTAGCCTTCTAGATTCTATTCTTCTTACTGCTGCCTTTCCCATTCCCTTCATCCCTTCATGTCCTTTTTGTGATTTCTCTTACTCCGACACGCGGTCACCCCTGGTCAACGCTGGTCAACGCGCTCAGCACGGCCACAGCAGAGTGGAACCGTCGACCAACCCCGCCCTGGTTGAGTCCAGGGGCCAATCAGACGCCGCCACGTCAGCGGACGGCCACACCACAGCAGCAGTGGCAGCGGGAAGAGGGGCGAACGGGGAAGGCAATCGGGGGATAGGGCAGGCGGAAGCAGGAGGAGGAAGGACGGGGGAAAGTGGAGGAGGGACCAATGGGGCCAATGGGGGGAACGGGGCGGATGGGGCGGGAGGGGAGGTGCCGCGGCCGAAGGCGTTGAGCGAGGAGGAGGAGAGGGTGATGTGTCGGTACTACGAGGGCAAGATCCAAGAAGTCTGTGCCGCCTTCCGCTTCCCCTACAAGATCTACGTGCGTTGCAAGTCAAGCTTTCTGCTTTCTGCTTTCTGAGATTGTGCGTGCTGGGCCATTTTGGTCCAAGTTAAGGGTAGTAGGCTGAGAGTTTATATCAGTTTTTATGTGGTTTTTCTTCAAGAGCATTAGCGCTGTTGCACGTGATGAGCCTACATCATCTCACACCATACTCCTTTTGAGGCGCATCAAAAGTCGTCTCCTTTTGAGGCGCCTCAAAAGTCACACCATACTCCCATCTGATGCACTGCCTGTATGCCCACCCACCTTTCCCTGCCGCCCATGTGTACCCCTTACAGTCCACCTCGCTACAGTACTTCAAACGCTTCTTCCTCATGTGCTCCGTTATGGAGCATGACCCTAAAAGCATCATGTGAGTTCTGGGTGGTGGCGGCTTTATATGAGCTCCAAGGAGGGATTCAGTGCTGCGTGTGAGGGCAGGGTGGTGGGGGCTGCGTGTGAGGGCAGGGTGGTGGGGGCTGCGTGTGAGGGCAGGGTGGTGGGGGCTGCGTGTGAGGGCAGGGTGGTGGGGGCTGCGTGTGAGGGCAGGGTGGTGGGGGCTGCGTGTGAGGGGTTACGGTTTGCTTGGCTGAGATCAAATGTGGTGTCTGTTTTCCACCTGTGCTCCCGTTCCGCCCATCTCTCTTTCTCCACTCCTTTTCTCCCCACGCCAGGCTGACAGTCATCTACATAGCGTGCAAGGTGGACGAGGTGTATGTATCAGCGGAGGAGTTTGGGAGGGGCATAGGGCAGGACCCGCAGGTGGTGCTGGGCTGCGAGGTGCAGGTGCTGCAGACGCTCAAGTTCGACCTCATCTGCTACGGGCCTTACCGGGCGATTGACGGCTTCCTGCTGCAGCTGGAGCAGGTGAGGGGGTGCTGATATGGCTTGTGGTGTGCAAGGGACACATGGAGCACGGGGTTCTGCAGACGCGCAGGCTCGACCTCATCTGCTTGCTACGGGCCTTACCGCGCCATTGACAGCTCCCTGCTGCAGCTGGAGCAGGTGAGATCAGTGCTGCAGATAGGCCGTGTGGGGTGGGGTGTACTGGGGCGCAATTGGCTGGGCACATGGGGCACGGGGTGCTACAGACTCCTTATGACACGTCTCAAAAGTCGTGTGGGGTGTACTGGGGCGCATGGGGCGCATGGGGGTCATGGGGCGCAATGGGCTCATGGGGCGCAATGAGCTCATGGGGCGCATGGGGGTCATGGGGCGCAATGGGCACATGGGGTTTGGGGTGCTACAGACGCTCCGTTGCGACCTCATCTGCACCGGGCCCTATCGTGCCATCGATGGCTTCCTGCTCCACCTTACCGTGCACAACAGTGCGGTTAAGGGCCATACAGAGCGGTAAAGGGCCAATGGTGGCTTCGTGTTGCAACCAGCAGAGGTATATGCTCTGTTTCTCATGCTTCAAGCGCTCACTGTGCTGTGCTCACCCTTATAGTACCTACCCCTCACGCTGCTGCTGTTGCTCTTTCCCCTCGCCCCTCCCACTCCCCTCCCTTCCTCCAATCCCGGCCTCCCTTCGAAGCTGCTAAGGGAGCCATTCGCGTCTCAGCCTGAGGACGTGAAGAAGCAAACAATCCAGGCAAGTGCTGGTGGGCAGCGGGCGTGGAGCATGGGTCATGCAAACATAAAGTGCAAACATGATTTTCTGCTGATGTGGAATGAGGTAAGTACGCGTTTGTGAGGCATGATGGAGTGAGGTATGGCATTGCACTGGTGTGACACTCTCTTTCAGATTATTGCATTCTTCCTATCCATTCCTCCTCTTTCCCATATCAAATGCTCTTTCAGCTCATAAATTCTCCAATTATCCCTCCCATCTCTCTCCATCGTTCTCCACCCTCTGCTTCTCTGCCCTCAGGCGCTGACACAGGGGGCATATGCGGCGGTGGGGTCGATATTCCTCACCGACGCACCTCTGCTCTTCCCTCCAGGGCAATTCTCTGTCTCTCCTCTCCGCTCTGCTCCCCATTCCACACCACACCACCGCACTGCTCCCCATTCCACACCACACCACCGCACTGCCCTCTTTCCAGACATCGCCACTTACTTTTGAGTCGACTCAAAAGTCAACCCATTCCACACCGCACCACCGCACTGCCCTCTTTTCAGACATCGCCATTTACTCTCTCCCTCTCTATGCCACACAGTATCAGCGCCATTTGTCTCATACTCGCTCATATACCTCACAACCCCGGCTCCTCCCCGCGCCACCCCATTCCGCCCCACTGCACCGCACTCCTCCGCCGCCCCAGGCAGCTGGCGCTAGCAGCCATCAAGCTCGCCAACAACGCCTCCTCCGCCATCCCCAACTTCCAAAGGTGCTGCTCCCACCATGTCACACCACACTGCACCGCACCACACCATCCAAACTGTTCCCTGGGGCATCGGAATGGTCATGGGTCGTGGAGATGGTGTCATGCGCATGGACTGATCATGGGTGGCATGGCATCCTTTCGTACTCATTAGACCATAAGACTCGTGCTTCTCTCCCCTCATGGACTCGTGCTTCTCTCCCCTCATGGACTCGTGCTTCTCTCCCCTCATGGACTCGTGCTTCTCTCCCCTCATGGACTCGTGCTTCTCTCCCCTCATGGACTCGTGCTTCTCTCCCCTCATGGACTCGTGCTTCTCTCCCCTCATGGACTCGTGCTTCTCTCCCCTCATGGACTCGTGCTTCTCTCCCCTCATGGACTCGTGCTTCTCTCCCCTCCCTTCCACGCGCACGCCTCACACATCCCCTGCCACCATCTCTCGTCATCCCTCACTCACTCTCACTCTCACCAAACCCCTCCTCCTCACTTGCCTCTCATCCCTCACTCACTCTCACTCCCACCCAATCGCTCTGCCTCCAGTTTTCTTGACTCCGTGGTGGCTGCATCCCCTCCTGCCAAGGCAGCACCAGGGAAGGAGCTAGGGGCAGGGCAGGGGCATGTGGGTGCGGAGCTGCTGGCTGCTGTGAAGGCCGTGGAGAGCATGGTGAGAGGTGGTGAGAGGTGGTGAGAGGTGGTGAGAGGTGGAGAGAGGTGGTGAGAGGTGGTGAGAGGTGGTGAGAGGTGGTGAGAGGTGGTGAGAGGTGGAGAGCATGGTGAGAGGTGGTGAGAGGTGGTGAGAGGTGGAGAGCATGGTGAGAGGTGGTGAGAGGTGGTGAGAGGTGGTGAGAGGTGGAGAGTGGTGGAGAGCATGATGAGAGTATGCCGTGAGAATCAATTGCATGTTAGTCGACCTTGTGCCAGTTGCTCACAAATCAATTACTCCCCAGATCGTGTTTTTTTAGAATTCTAAAAAAATACTCCCCAGATCGTGTGTTTTTAGAATTCTCAAAAAATACTCCCCAGATCGTGTTTTTTTAGAATTTTCAAAAAATACTCCCCAGATCGCAAAAACGACTCAACAGGTGAAGGCATGTGGTCGCTCACAGGTCAATCGGTTTCACCTCTCCCCACTTCATTAATCACACAATAACTCGGCAGGTGAAGGCATCAGGGCCGCTACCAGCAGCAGATGTGGTGAAGCGTATCGACAGGAAGCTCAAATACTGCCGCAACCCTGCCCTCATGCTGCACGAGTGAGTCCCCACTCTGAATGGGTAGTTAGCTACCTTTACCCTCCTGGGATAACACCATGTTTCTGGGAGAACAACATGTTCCTGGGAGAACACCTATGAACCCCGTCTGGATGAATTCTTCGCCATTGGCATTTCTTTCACTTCCATGCTCCACTGCCTCCCTGGCTCCCCTCTCCCTCTCTCCCCCTTCCATCCTTCCCCTCTCCCTCTCTCCCCCTCCCATCCTTCCCCTCTCCCTCTCTCCCCCTCCCATCCTTCCCCTCTCCCTCTCTCCCCCTCCCATCCTTCCCCTCTCCCTCTCTCCCCCTCCCATCCTTCCCCTCTCCCTCTCTCCCCCTCCCATCCTTCCCCTCTCCCTCTCTCCCCCCTTCCATCCTTCCCCTCTCCCTCTCTCCCCCTCCCATCCTTCCCCTCTCCCTCTCTCCCCCTCCCATCCTTCCCCTCTCCCTCTCTCCCCCTCCCATCCTTCCCCTCTCCCTCTCTCCCCCTCCCATCCTTCCCCTCTCCCTCTCTCCCCCTCCCATCCTTCCCCTCTCACCCCCTCCCTCTCCCCCTCTCCCTCTGCGCATGCCCATCAGTCGCAAGGAGCGCGAGGAGAGGAGCAAGTCCAAGCGGGCATCACATAGCGTTGCGCTCACTGCCTCCCCACTTTCCCCCACTCTTCCTCACCGCGTCTCTCTCCCTCTTCGTCCCCCTCTCCACCCCCACTCCCCGCATGCCCATCAGTCGCAAGGAGCGCAAGGAGAGGAGCAAGTCCAAGCGGGCATCACACAGCGTTGCCGTCGCTGTCTCCCCGGTTTCCCCCACTCTTCATCCCCCTCCCCTCCCACTCCTTCCCCACACCCCCATCAGTCGCAAGGAGCGCAAGGAGAGGAGCAAGTCCAAGCGGGCATCGCACAGCGTTGCGCTCACTGCCGCCCCGCCTGTCACCTCCTCGCCCCTGTAAGCCTATTCTTGAGGCGCCGCAAAAATCAAGTCCAAGCGGGCATCGCACAGCGTTGCCCTTACTGCCGCCCCACAGGCTGCCTCCTCCCCTCTGTAAGATCCAGTCGCACTGTATGCTGCATCTCCCCTGTCAGCTCCATCCCCCCTGTAACATCATCCTCCCTGCCTATGATTTCTATCCAACCTTTAGCATCAGCCTTTACCACAGTAGAAGCTACATGTGTTCCTCTGCTTTGTTCTGTAAGTTGCCGTGCCATCTCTCTGCTGAATGACGCATCCCCCATATAAGCAGTGTGCTGCTTTCTTTCCACCCTTGTAAGCATGTCTTGATCGCATCCTGATTCGATGGCTCGCTCGCATGCATGTTATGACGCCCATCTCATGTTATGCATGTTATCTCATGCTTGATTTTGTTGTGTTCCGCTTGTCCGCATGCCCGCATGCTCACATGATCCCATACTTCCATGCTTCCATGCCCGCATGCTCACATGATCCCTTACTTCCATGCTTCCATGCCCGCATGCTCACATGATCCCATACTTCCATGCTTCCATGCCCGCATGCTCACATGATCCCATACTTCCAGGCTTCCATGCCCGCATGCTCACATGATCCCATACTTCCATGCTTCCATGCCCGCATGCTCACATGATCCCATACTTCCATGCTTCCATGCCCGCATGCTCACATGATCCCATACTTCCATTCTTCCATGCCCGCATGCTCACATGATCCCATACTTCCATGCTTCCATGCCCGCATGCTCACATGATCCCATACTTCCATGCTTCCATGCCCGCATGCTCACATGATCCCATACTTCCATGCTTCCATGCCCGCATGCTCACATGATCCCATACTTCCATGCTTCCATGCCCGCATGCTCACATGATCCCATACTTCCATGCTTCCATGCCCGCATGCTCACACGATCCCATACTTCCATGCTTCCATGCCCGCATGCTCACATGATCCCATACTTCCATGCTTCCATGCCCGCATGCTCACATGATCCCCTACTTCCATGCTTCCATGCCCACATGCTCACATGATCCTATACTTCCATGCTTCCATGCTCGCATGGTCAACAGGGACGATGCAGCAGCCCGCAATGCCAAGCGAAGGCGAAGCACAAGTACCCTTCCGCAGGGCACTTAGTAGTGACCCTGGCTGTGTTGCAGGGCACGTAGCACCAGCACAGTCACATCTGTCCCTCTTCCAACACAGCAGGCAGGGTGATCCTGCACTCCTAGAAGTTTATTTACAATTAGGGGTAGTGGCACTGCATATATAAAAACACATAAGCTTTCCATAAATCGTTCTCTATTATGCTGTGAACCTGTATTAGTCACTAAGGGTGCGTTCCTGTGGAGACACTTGTGTCTCAATCCCCTTCTTTCCGAGTCGCGTCTACACATTTTTGCAATCTCGCGTCACAAAAAATGAGTGTATCACGAAACTGTGTGACCAGACGAAATTTACAGCTGTGCTCATTTGATTGGATTTCAAACTTGACTGAACACCTGCATTGAGAAAGCTTGCTTTCTGTTCTTGCTAAGGCAACGGGCTTCATTACAATTGCAGTAATACAACATTCTCGTCCAACTATTATGATATACAATATACGACTAGGGTGGGTGGGTGGGGAGTGGAACTGCAAAGTTCCGAAATGAAGTCGTGGGTGGAGGCCGAATGGCCTCCAACCCTCGTTATATACTCGGCGAATTGTAATTCGCCGTTGCTTTGTTTCGTTACAGGTACCGTCATACCCCAGATATAAGCGCCACCCTAGGATAAGCGCCTGGCGCTTTTAATTGGCGCATGGCGCTTATATCCGCTGCTAGATTATAAGCGCACCCCCTGGAAAAAAACCTGTTTTATTATAAGCGCACGTAAACTTTAATTCTTGAAATGGGTTCAAAACCCTGTAACGAATTTTACTTTAGCAAGCGGATGTCTCCAGATTCGGTTCCCTTAAAATTCGGACCCTTCACTGGATGCGGGTCCAGTCAGCAGGAGCTGTTAGGAGCTGTCAGAAGCTGTCAAAAGCTGTCAAGAGCTGTCAGATTTGGTGTATCTCCCAGTGCGCGTGAGAATTTCACAGACGACCCCATGTAACTTCGGCTCGGTTGAAAATGCAAGCACGAGAAGTACAGGTTGGTGTTAAAAAATATATAAACTATATATGTCGTTTTATAAACGCCGGCGCTTATAAAGTTACCCGATTATAAGCCCACCCCCTAAAAAAAACCTGTTTTATTATTCCCCCCCATGGGGGTATATCCGGGGTATAACGGTAGCTGCGCTTTCACAATACACATTTTTAGAAAGTGTTACACACTTTCGAAAAATTTCATTTCTTCAACTGTCTGGTTCGGGTGGGGTTTTGACGAGCGGAACTTTTTCCTGCGCGAGATTTTTACTGTGGAATGTCCAGGTGCATTGACATTTCGAATCACATACAGAGTTGTTGACAATGACGGGTCGATACGCAACTCGTCCGCGACATCAGCGCGTTTCACGCTGACAAATGAAAAATACATTAAAAGTCGCACAAGGGCGACACGCGTTTGTGACATTGTACGTTATATGCTGGTTTTACGCGTCACAGAAGGATTGAGACACAAGTGTCTCCACAGGAACGTACCCTAAGACACATTGCAACTAAGCAGTGTGGCCTTAGCTCCTGAAATGGGCCTTGCAGCCTAATTATGCTACAGTAACGTAACGGCCTACAATCAACCCATCGTTACTAGAGTACTACCAGTATCACGCTGCCTATCCTAAGCCACCGAACCAACCAGCACAGAGACGCGTAGCCTGCCGCAGTGCACCGCACACACCAACTCGAAGACTGCCAAACCACTTACCGTATGTCTCAGCTGCCTGCATAGACTTTGGAACCCGTACAGTCATCAACCCCACCACTCCCTGCACACATCCTCCCTGCTCCACCTTTCTGCTCTTCCTCTGCACCCCCCGAGATGGCACCATTCACCCTCGCCCCATCACTGCTTCCATCCATCGACCCATCCCCACCCGCCTCCGCCCCTCCACACGCCTCCTTGCCTGCCATTGTGTCATCCAGCGAGACTGCCACTGCCACCTTCTGCTGCAACGAGGGCGGGCCGTCATGCTCCTCAGCCTTCCCATGTCCCTCCTCCCGGTTCCCCCCCACACCCGCCTCGGCTCCCCCACTGGCCTCAGCTCCCCCACCCGTCTCACCCCCTCCACCCGGCTCAGTCAACCCACATGCCTCCCTGCCTCCCCCTGCTTCATCCGACGAGCCCCCCGCTGCCACCTGCTGCAGCAAGGAAGGTGGCCCCACCTGCTCCTCAGCGCAATCCTGTCCCTCCTCCCGGTTCTCCCCGCCACCCGCTTCGGCTCCCCCACCCGCCTCTGCCCCTTCACCCACCACACTGCCTCCCCTTGCTTCATCCAACGAGTCTGCTGCTGCCATCTGCTGCTGAAACGAAGGCGGCCCTGTGTGCTCCTCAGCCTTCTCCTGTCCCGCCTCCCGGTTCCCCCCAACCCCGGCACAGTCCCCTGATGTCATGTCAGCAGCGTGAACCCTGCTCTCTGCCTCCAAATTCCCAGGATGAGGATTTCTAAGATTTCTAAGGCCCTCGTTTTCAGCAGCTGCAGCAGCATCAACTCCGAAATTGCGTTGTTCATTAGTTGCAAACGTACCTGATAGACAGTTACCAGCAGAATCAGCAACATCAGAAGCAGCAGCTGCCGCAGCAGAAGCAGCACTGATACTAGAATCAGGAGCGCCATCAACAGCAGAGACAGCAACATCAGCATCACCAGCATCGTCCTTGGCAGCAGCAGCGTCAGCATCGGAATCACCAGCATCATCAGGACCAGCAACACCATAAGCAGCATCAACAGCATCGGCAGCAGGGACAAGAGAGCCTGCATTCATCAGATGCATGTGCGCATCCACATCACCACCATGCCCATCCGTCAGACCCCCATGCAAGTGCATGTGCTTGTGCATCAGCGCCGCATGCTCCTCTGCCGACATCACATGCCCCCCGTCCAGCAGTCCACACTCTCCCTCCGGCAGCGCCCCCCCCCCTTCGGACAGCACATGTCCCGCCTCAGCAAGTGCATGGTGTGCGCCTGGGGTGGTGCTGCCTCCGCGCAGGTAGAGGTGCTCGTAGTAGAGCAGCAGGTGGTGTAGCATCTCGTTCTCTCGCTCCACCACTGCCTTCCCCGCCACCAGCTGCGCCTTCTCCTGCAGCAGCACTCCCAGCTGCTCGTGCAGCTGCGGGCGAGCAAGAACAGGTGCGGGGAAACATGAAGGGGGCATAATGGAAAAGGACAGGAAGTCAGCAGACAGCAAGAAGAAGGGGGGTAGTCTTGTGGCATCTGTCTCTCGCGCTCCACTGCTGCCTTCCTCGCCACCAGCAGCACCTTCTCCTGCAGCAACACTCCCAGCTGCTCGTGCAGCTGTGGGCACAGGGTGTTGAGGGCGTGCGAGCAACACATGGGGAAGGACAAGGAGGAACACCCTGAGAATTCTCCTGAAGCAGCGTATTCCCGCCCTCAAAAGCACGTCACACATTCCAGCCCATCAAAACTCACCATATCTTCCAATTCCGAGTGATGGTGGTGGTGATGTGTGTCCACCCCTCCTTCCCCCTCCACCCCCGCCTCCACCTCCGCCTCACGCCCTCCCATCCCCTCCCCCTTCACTCCCCCCTTCGTCTCTTCTGCAGCCGCCAGCGCCGCTCTGAGCCGCTCATTCTCCTCCTCCACCGCTCTGCACCGCTCTCGAGCGTCCATGGCGTCGCGGCGGGCTGCCTTGAGGTCCGCCTGTAGCTGCTTCGCCCGCATGGCCATGGCTGTCGCCACCTGCAGCAGGGGGGGGGGGAGGGGGGAGGAGTTAGAGAGGGGGCCGATGAGAGGAGCGACATTAAAGTGAGCTGCTTCGCCTGCATGGCCATGGCTGTCGCCACCTGGTGGGGGAGAATGGTGGGGTTAGGGAGGGTAGGAAGGAGGCGGAGGGGAGGGATGAAAAGAGGGGGGAAGGAGGGGCGATGCAAGGAGTGAACTGCTTCACCCGCATGGCCACGGCTGTGTTTTGAGGCGCCTCAAAACGATGCAAGGAGTGAACTGCTTCACCCACATGGCCACGGCTGTGTTTTGAGGCGCCTCAAAACGATGCAAGGAGTGAACTGCTTCACCCGCATGGCCACGGCTATGTTTTGAGGCACCTCAAAACGATGCAAGGAGTGAACTGCTTCACCCACATGGCCACGGCTGTGTTTTGAGGCGCCTCAAAACGATGCAAGGAGTGAACTGCTTCACCCGCATGGCCACGGCTGTGTTTTGAGGCGCCTCAAAACGATGCAAGGAGTGAACTGCTTCACCCGCATGGCCACGGCTGTGTTTTGAGGCGCCTCAAAACGATGCAAGGAGTGAACTGCTTCACCCGCATGGCCACGGCTGTGTTTTGAGGCGCCTCAAAACGATGCAAGGAGTGAACTGCTTCACCCGCATGGCCACGGCTGTGGTCAGCTGGGTGGAGCGACAGGGAAGAGGGGGGAAGAGTGATGTTGAAGTGAGAGGTAATTTGTTCGCATGGCCATGGCTGCCGACTCATGTTGCCACCAACATGTATACATGCGTAGTTACAGGCTCTCATTGCAGCGTGTTTTGAGACGTCTCAAAACACACCAACATATATACATGCATAGTTACAGGCATTCATTGCAGCGGAGGACTCACATTTCTGGACGCCACGAGCTGGGTCTCCTTGGGCACATGCACCGCCGCCTCACTCGCCCTCTTCACCCCCTCCTCTCTCCCCACCAGCATCTCCCTTCCCTTCGGCAACCGCACTAGCAGATCGTCTTCCGCTGCCAGCTCAGCACCTGACGTGGCGGCTAATGTAGCGGCTGACTTGGCGGCTGACGTGGCAGTTGGGCCAGAGGATGCATGACCAGGAGCTTGAGGGGGAGGAGGGGAGGCAAGAGGCTCGTCAGGCCGTGCAGCTAGGGAGGGCGGCGAGACAGGGGAAGAAGGAGAGACAAGGGCGGGAGGAGAGGCGAGGGAAGCAGGAGAGACGAGGGAGGCAGCAGCTTCTGTTTCCCCTGCTCGCCCTTCTCGTCCCTGCATCCGTTGCTCTACAGGCACAACCCGTCCACCACCCCCCTCACCCATACCACTACTACTCTGCTCTGACAGTCGCGCTACTGCTGCTGCTCCTGCTATAGTTGCTCCTGCTCCTGCTGCTTCGGCTACTTCTGCTCTGGCTGCTTCTACTGTTGCTGCTGTTGCTGTCGATGGCTGTCTGGGTGCCACTGCATTTGTTTGTGCCACCATGGCATTCGCTGAGTCTCTCACTGTAGGCGCCGCTGCTTCTCCTGCACTCAACCCCTCTGCTTTTGGAGCTACCACTCGAGTTGCTGCTGTTTCTGCTACTGCTGCTACTGCCGTTGCTGCCGCTCCTCCTGCTCCGGATGCTCCTGCTCCTGCTACTGCTGCTCCCCCTGCTCCTGCCACTGCTGCTCCTCCTGCTGCTGCTCCCCCTCCCGCCGCTGACCCTACAGCAGCCTCAGAGCCGCTGTCAGCCCCTCTCGTCTGCACGCTATCAGGCCCTTTTGACTGCACGAGGCGGGGGCGCGCGTCTCTGATGGCCGCTCTGGGCGCGGACTGCCTGCCTGACGCGCCGGGCTTGGTGCTGCCCGCTGCTGCCTTTCTGGGGGGCGGGTGGTCGTCTACGGCCACCTGCACCACCTTGCCTATGCCCTCCTGCCGTCAGGTACAGTGGGGAAAGGGGGGAGGGAGTGGGGAGGGATTGGGGAGGGCGTGGGGATTTTCTATGGGTCCCAAGAAAGGACGGTCGTCAACGGCCACCTGCACCACCTTGCCTATGCCCTCTTGCCGCCGCGTGTAGTGGGAGGGAGGAGGGAGGGAAGGGCGGGAGGTGGGGGTTGGGGGAGAGGATCTAGAGGCGCCCCGAAACAGGGCGCTCCTCCACCGCCACCTGCACCACCTTGCCTATGCCCTCTTGCCGCCGCGTGTAGTGGGAGGGAGGAGGGAGGGAAGGGCGGGAGGTGGGGGTTGGGGGAGAGGATCTAGAGGCGCCCCGAAACAGGGCGCTCCTCCACCGCCACCTGCACCACCTTGCCTATGCCCTCTTGCCGCCGCGTGTAGTGGGAGGGAGGAGGGAGGGAAGGGCGGGAGGTGGGGGTTGGGGGAGAGGATCTAGAGGCGCCCCGAAACAGGGCGCTCCTCCACCGCCACCTGCACCACCTTGCCTATGCCCTCCTGCCGTCACACACACCGGGAAGGGAGGATGAAGAAGGGGAGGAAGGAGGGGGCGGCGGGCAGCAAGGAGGGAAGAGAAGACGCCAGTATCAAAGTAGAAGCAGAGAGGAACGCCAAGGGGAAAGTAAAGCTCGGAAGATGCGAGGGGTTTGGGGCAGACAGTGGCGCAGGGTATGTGTGTGGAGAGGCAGCAGGGCAAGGGGGGAGGAGGGAGGGGAGGGTGGGGTAAGTTGAAGTGCGTGCATGTGTATGCGTGCACACCCATGCCACAAGCGGGGCAGCTTACATCGAGAGCGGAGCCAAGGGTGTCACCGAGCAGGGAAATAGAGTTGATGATGGCGTCCAGCCCTCCCTGCACAAATCCACCGCCACCACCGCCGCCTCCTCCGCCTCCTCCTCCCTTAGCACCCCCAAACGTTGGTCCAGCTGAAGCACGACCTGACGCTCCCCTCCCTGCTCCTGCTGCTCCTCCTGCTGCTGCAGCAGGCTTGGAATCCCCTGCACCTCGCTTCCCTGCTCCCGTTCCACCTTCTCCCATTCCACCGGCTGCCATCCCTGCCGTCCGTTCTGCTCCTGCAGATCTTGCGGTTCCACTGTTTCGTGCCTGCGTGGGCTTCGAGACTCCAACATGCTTGCCGCTCCCCGGCTGTGCTTGTGGGGAGCTTGTCTTTGCGCTCGCCCTCCGCGGGCTGCTGGATACACCGCTAACCGCAACAGGTTTTCCTAGAAGATCCTGGCGGGGAACGAGAAGGACACAGGGAATAACGATCGGGACTCTTAGGGTGCCGGATTCCGCAAAACAAAAGACGGTAACGCGCGTGAGGGAGCGAGTCCAGTAACGTTATGGGCAAGCTCGAAGAAGCGACTGAACGGGAACGGCAGCAAGGCCCAACAACCTGCCCTGATTCAGCTGCTCACCTCTGCATTGAGCGTGGGAGACTGCTGATGCCGCGGCGTGGAAGCGCGCGACGAGGAGGAGGGGATGTCGTCCTCGAGCACGAAGTCCGCCACCTTCTTCACCAGGCTCGACCAGAAGCTCTCCTGCGCCGCCGGGATCGGCGCTTCCGCCTTCCGCCCCGCACTCACCGACCGATCCATCCTGGCGTGCCCGATCGCTGGCTAGCAAGTCGACGAGTTTATCTGCAGTGCAGGCTGCAGCAGACGCAGGTGGCTCAGCAGGTGTACCTGCGTGTTGCTATAATTCGTACGGATGCCGCTTCAGATTCTGGAGGAAATGCTTGTCCGGTTGAATGATAACATCAACACTAAACCGCGATATTTAATTTGAAGGCCCTAACCTACTGCCATCGCTCGCTAGAATCAGCTGGTCTAAGGTACACAAACAGATCCATGTATCGAAACGCAAGCCTTCATAATTGTTCGGTGGTGACCAACCTCGCTGTTTCTACTCATTGCGATGATACAGCTGGTGGAGAAGCAGGATTCTCGAAACGTAAGAAACGTGATCTAGGTGGAATGTGTGCATTTGACAACCAAATGGAAAGCAAGGTGTGCGTGCAGTGCAGGTCCGTGAAAGCTGGAGTTTACGAAGTGAATGGTCGAGGTGAGTAATCTTGTCAGCAATGAGACGTAACTGTTCAGCGGCTAGAAACCTTTTTAGAACACTACGAAACTTACTCAAACGCACTGAATACCTCGCTGATGGATTGTGAGATTTCCGGATGACAAAATCGAGGTTTGGAAGTCCGAAGGTTGGGGGAGAAGGGGAACCTGCACAACCAAGGGTGACTCATGGAGGGAAATGCTGTGAGTGGCTGGAAAATGTTGTCAGGCGAAGATGGAGGGGGAAGTGGCCAATTGGCGCGCGGTTGTTGGGAACCAAGCAGACGTAACTATTCGATTATGTGCACTCACAAGATACAAACAGATACAAATACGTAAGTGTAGACAGCGTAACTATTCTTTGTAGTTTCTTGTGGAAGAGGCTGTTGGTGAGTATGTATGGCTACGTGGAAAGTCGCACTCGTTTCCACGTGTCGGCGGATACGTCACACTAGGCCTGGTTTGCCTCTCCATTCGGTTTGCTGTCGGTGGTGCTGTAGGTTACTCTACTCGCTTGTCTGCAGCGCAACGAAACGCCCTGCCAAGCTGTAATTCGTTCAACGAAGTCGCGACTGTCGCTCCACCCCTCCATCACCGAAAACAGCCGAACACAATCCCGCAACAGACAAAAGTACTGCCAGAATCCAGCGTGTCCGACTGACTGTTGCGGAGGGGAAGGTGAAGTGAGTGAGGGTCAAGGCTCCGACGCTCAACGCAACAATGCGCAAATGCGATGCGTCGGCGTGCGGCCCGACCAAAATTACAAGCAAGGTCCATCCCGAAATTCCCTCCCCCTCCCCCCCTCTCCCCCCTCTTCCCCCTCTCTCCCCTCTTTCCCCTCGTCCTCATTCTCCTCCTCGTCTGCCCCCCCCTGCCCCCAACCCAGGGTCACGCAAGAGGGGTTCTGCGGGAGGAAACTCCGCCTGCTCCAGCTGCTGAGGCGGGGGCGGGAGCGGAACCAGAAGCGACCACGAAGCCGACAGCTTGACGCAAGCAGGAAGCTGACCATTAGGCCCCCGCCGCAAATCTGACGTACCTGGATTTTTACTTCTGACCACTTCTTGCATACCTTCCATTCGCAGTATCCTAGAGTTCGCCGCACAGATACCTGAGTGCCATAGGTCCTCTTTCGGAGATAACTTTTCATACGCAGAATCCAGAACGGGTTTTTTAGAACCGACTGTTGCTCTCGCCGATTTGTCATTTCGAGTTTTTAGTCGTTTAAGTTGGCCCGAGTAATGCATCTCGCCGGTTGCTTTTCATCCAGCCGGCAACTGAAACGGCCACCGTCACTATCGTCTCTTCGCATAGCTTATCCGTTACCGTACTCCTGCTTCAATACATCCCAGACCCAGGTCGAGCCTGTAAACGAGCCACGTAATAACGAGTTCCTAGTCACCGAGCCTCTGGACACCTGCCCATTGCCACGTCGGTCGCCAGTAGAGGGGATCCACGTGGCCGACTCTGGAGCCTTATCCGAGAATCCGCACATGCCACGTCAGACGCAGCACCGTCAAACCTCCTCCCTCGATATCCCTCCCACCAGAAACTCCTTAACTCCGCCGCTCCCCGCTTCCACCCCGCCCCCCCTTTCCCGTCCCCCGGCGACGCGCTCCCCCGCCCCGTTCTCGCCGGGAGCGGGATTTCCACACTCCCCCGGCGCGCAGTCTCCGCCTCCCCTAGCAATAGCAGTAGTTCCCGCGCACCCGTTCAAGCGCCGCGCGGTGGAGGGGCCTTCGCCGCCCCCTTCCCCGCTCCTGCGGCTCAACGAGAGCCATCACTCTCCGCTTTCTTCGCCGTCTTCCGCGGTCTTTGGCATCCGCGCTGCGCCTCTTAGCCCTTGCGCATGGAAAGCGGGGGAAGGGGGAGGAGAGAGTGGGAGGGGTGGGGGAAGTCGGGGGAGCGGGGGAGGTGCGGGAGCGCAATCCAGAGCGCACGATGGTTCCGCGAGCGTAATCGCAGGGTCTCCCGCATCTCCCGCACCGGACTCCAGTGTAGTTTGGCCGGCGAATGCGCCACGTGGCGGCCAGATCCGCGGACCTCCTGCGCCGTCAGGCGCAAGAAAGGCAGAACCTTTGAGTCCTTATCCAGACGCGCGGGAGCAGGGGGTGCCGCTTCCGCGCGCGCAAGAGCAAGAACGGCGGGTGGGCGGAAAGGCCTTAGCTTCCCCGCAACCCCGCGATTGCCCCGTCAGCACAGTGACGCTTGAGTGGACTCAGAAGCCGCCTTCCCCGCGATCCCGCGATGTTCCCCCCCGCGCCGCGACTCTCTCCAGCGCGCTTCTCGCGCGCATCGACGCGATATTCCTGAGCAAACGGAGCAAGGAGCGCGCGGAAGCCAAGGCGCAGGCGCAGGCGCAGGCGCGGCTGCGAGCAGCGGCGGGCGGCGGGTCGAAGCGGCGCGGGCAGGCTGACTCCGCCGCCGCCGCCGCAGCTGCAGCAGCAGCAGCAGCAGCGGGGAAACAGGAAGCTCCCGTCACAGCGGAAACGGGAGTGGGAAAAAGCGCGGGTGTGTGGGGGAAGGTGGGTACAAAGGCGCGGCGGTCACTGTCTCTGGATGGCACAGGGGCAAGCCGCGGGGAAAGGGTATTTGCGGCGCTGGGGGAAGGAGGAAACGTGAAGGCGGAACCTGAGGTCTGGGAGGTTGGTGGGGGAGGCTCGATTGGCGGGAGTGGGGGAAGCGGAGTAAGTGCGGGAAGTGGGGGAAGCAGGGGGAGCGGGGGAAGCGGGGGGATGAGTGGTACCATTTCTGGTGGTAGCAGCGGTCTTGATGGTGAGCTGAGAACGTGCACAGCTCTGCACTCTCCTGCTACCACAGCTAACGCCTTTGCTGCTGCCTCACCAGCTGCTACCCCAACAGCAACAACAACAGCAGCGGCAGCAGCAACAGCAGCGACAGCAGTGAGAGAAGCACAAGAAACGGCGGACGCACAGCCGATAAGGCAGGCAGCGGGCAACAGAGGAATTGAGAGTGGTTTTAGAACCGTGGCTAGCTTTGCCCCTGCGACCGACAACAGCCATATCAGCGGCAGCAGCAGCAGTGCAACAGTCCCGGCCGCACTGCAGCAGCAGCAGCAGCAACCCGCGTGGATGATGGTAGCAGGTACGCTTACTCGCGCTGTTGTTGTTGTCCCCATGCCCGCCACCGCTGCCATGCCTGCTCCCATGGCTGCTCCCACGCCTCTTCCCACGGCTCCTCCTTCGCTCACTCTCACGCACACCCCTACTGTACTCACATCGCCGCTTGCACTGCCACCAGCAGCCACCACAGGCACAGCCGGTGCAGCAGGGCCAGCAGCATCGTTCTCACCCTTCAAACAACCCGTGCAGCAGCAGCAGCAGCCCGGCCTTGAGCCCTCTTCAAGAACCCATCCACCGGAACCCTCTTCTCCTCTGCCTCCTCCTCCTCCTCCTCCTACTGCTACTGCTCCTCCTACTGCTCTCGCCACCCCTCCCCCTTCTGCCCCCCCTGCCACTCCCCCTTACGTTCCCCTTCCCTCTCCCCTTTCTCTTACCCCAGCTGCTTCCCCTGCTGCCCCGCCCGCTACCCCCCCTGCTCCATCCACGCGCCATCCACCCCCTCACCGCTCCGTTCCCGCCCACCACCCTCATCCCCCGCACCATCCCCACCACCATAACCACCCCCGCGTGCGGTACCGGGGGGTGCGGCAGCGGCGGTGGGGGCGGTGGGTGACAGAAATCCGTGAGCCCACCACGCGTACGCGCATCTGGCTCGGCTCCTATGATAACGCCGAGGAAGCCGCCCGTGTGTACGACATGGCCGCCCGGCTGCTCAAGGGCCGGGCGGCACGGCTTAACTTTCCCCACAGCGTGCAGCCAGTGGCGGTCCCCCGGGGGATTGCGGATGCTCTCATGAGGGCTAGCCGGGCGGCAGCGGAGGCTGGCGGGGGGGAGGGTGGTGCGGGTGGCAGTATGGATGATTTGCAGGGTGGTCGGGATAGTGTGGACGATGGGCATGGTAGGGATGGGGATGGGGATGGTGGTGGTGATGGGGATGGTGATGGGGATTGGGGCATCAGTGGTGGGTGCGGTGGTGGTGTGATGGGGATGGTGATGGGGATGGACGTGGTTGGTGCAGAGGCAGTGGGGGAGGGTGAGGCGGGCGCAGAGGCACTGGAGGTGAAGGCGTGGAGTGGTGAGCAGATGGAGTGTGGTTCAGAGCAGGTGCAGCAGCAGCAGAGCATGGTGCTTCAGCATGCCGGGCAACCACCAGCCGGGCTACAGGAGCATCACTATTATCATCAACAGCAGCAACAGCAGCAGGAGCAGCAGCAGCAGCAGCAGCAGCAGGCGAGCAGTTTGGCACCTGAGAATCCACCTGGCAGCCAGGCGCCATCATGGGAGGAGACCCTGAGAGACCTGGGCCTGGACGCACCCCTTCCCCCTGTCGCCCCTCCCCCTCCCCTTTGCCCCGCTCCCACTCCAATTGCCCAGCCTCTCTCTGCTGCTCCCACCGCTCTCCACCGCTCTTCACCACCAGCAGCAACACCACCACCATGTGTAACCCCATCTCGCCCCTCCAGTACGCCTCCTCTTCCTCTCCTGCGCATGCCCCTGTCGCTGCTCGCCTCCCCACGTGCGTGCACCCATGTCCCTCCATATCGATCAGCAGGCAGCCCCCTGCTCCACCTCCCGCCCTCGTTCCCTGCTGCTGCCTCCACCTCCGTGCCTGCTGCAACTACTGTAGCTGGTGCCACATCTGCTACAACATCCGCACCTGCCACTACAGAACCCCCACCTGCTACAGCACCCTTACCAGATACTACACCCATCTCTCAATCCTCCTCCCTGCTTCCTTGCTCCAGCCCCAACGAACGGACGGATCAAATTGACCAGAACAGCCAGATGGAGCGGACGGACCAGATCGAGCGAGCGGGCCAGATGGGGCAGACAGACCAGATTGAACGGACGGACCAGATGGAGCGGATGGGGGCCCCCTTAGAGCCTTATACATTGGAGCTTCCCCAGGTGCACTCCCACACCTCCACCGCCACCACTGTCACCAGCGCTACTGGTGGTAACACGGTTACCACAACTGGCACCACCAGCGGCACTGCCACCACCACGGCTTCTGATTGGTCGGCGAACGTTCTTGTTGACTCCAACGATTCCTCCATGCAGATTTTCGGGCAGACAACGAATGTTTTCTGCCCGAATCAACAGTCGCCTACTGAAGTTTCTTGGAATTCTCCAACCGAACCATCTGTCCGAACCTCACTCCACCGAGCCTCTCTCTCTCGTCCGGCAACCGTCCCAGCCAATCGTCCAGCCGTTTGCGCTGCCGAACCTCCGCCTCTTGTCCTCCCACCCTCGCTAGATGCCCTGTCATTGGCCAGCCTCAGTGCCGAACCTCTGTTGCTTCCATCCCTTCCGGAGAGGTTCGGGGGAGGTTTGGGGGATGAGGGGGTGGCTGGGGATGAGGGCTGGTTCTTGTGGCCTGACCTGTAAGGTACGAGTGGCATTGGTGCTACATACAACCACCTCCTGATGCTGTCTCACAGTTGAGCTTTATGGCGGGCTTCAATGTTGCGGTATTCAAGACGCCACCTGGTTAGCCACACCCCATAATCTCCTACTCTTGATAGAGACAGCCACCGCACTTGCCCAATCATGCTGCTGTGTTCCACGTGTCCAATTCCCCCGTGATGCTTCTGACTCCATTTGAGGCGCCACGTTGCCTTGTAAAGGATTCCCACGGGCTCGCGAGCACGAGGACCCGGTATGGACCGGCAGGATTTTTGGGCAGGATGTCAATCAACATGTCAGGTGCACGTAGTTTGATTTACGCATTCTCCTACGACCGACGGTGTAATAGGCATATTTCAAGCCATTCGTGTCCCCAAAACACACACGGCTTAGATCCATTTTGTATAATGCAAGCTTGTCCTAGTGGATAAACGTGCTTGGTACTTGATTTACTTGCACCTATAATCTGTGTTGTGGCCAAACGTGCCCATCACTTCTGCACTTGCAGCTACTGCTGCTCAAAACTATAATAGTGAAACGCTTGAGGTATTTCTGTTGAAAGTACGGTTTGCTGGATGCTTATTCCGAAGCCTTTGTAGTGCGGATCGGGATTACCAGCTTCTGCATTTGCATTATTGGAGCTTCCCCCGCCCCGCCCACCTCCCCACCCCACCCGAGCGCTGGAAGTGTTTGACTTTCCGCTATTGTACAGTCATTCCCCGCCAGTCCATCCAACGTGCTGAGACGGACAGTCCGTGGCGGCTTGCATTATTCCACCCTTGGCTTGGTTTGGCGCTTCCCCTCTCGCGCGCACCTTTTCCCCCAACACCGCCCGTCCCTTCCGATCCCTTTCCGCTCGCTCACTCCGCATATTCAATTCCAAGCCAATCCAAGCCACACACACACCGCATCAGACGCGGTGGAAAACTCTACCACCTCACTTGACCATATCAAAACAGCTCAAAACTCACGAATACACACCACACCACACCAACCAGGAGGAGCCGGCAGCAAATCCGTTCATGAATCATGATGATCACTCAGTCCCCTCGCCGAGGTGTTTCAGCCAACGCTTTTCCAACCCGCAGCTTATGGACTCAGTTCACACAGAGCACACTTCATTCGAGTGCACTTAGGAGAATGCACTCCCCAGCTTGGCTGGGAAACAAGTGGCTGCTATTCGTAGAGGAAAGTCAAGGTGGTCTGGAAATGTTTATGTACTAGAAGTGAATTGCGTGGCAATGGAGGTATTATTTCGTTCCGTCGTGGTAAATACTTCGTTAAAAGGTTATTGGAAGTATTAATTCCCGTAAGAGGAACCAATAGCCAAAGTCCTCAGGTAACCACCTTACGTCTCTTCACCGAAAATTGATCGCGGTTACGGATTCCTCCTAATACGCATCCCGTAGTAGCAGCACGGCCGTTGTGCTCGGAGCTATCCACGCCGCATTCAACGCGCGCACTTTCGTTGCGACGCAAGCTTCAAGTGAACCCCCATCTATCAGACCTCAGCATTCAGTCATGGCGTTGCCGAGGCTGAGAATCGAACCGGGGGCGTTAGCATTCAGCTGTAAGCGCGCAGCTTTCAACCTCTCACTTCAACCTCACACTTCAACCTCTAGCCTAACCGTCGTCCCAGTCCCCCTCTGGGTCATGTCCTGTGGTAACCGTACCACCGTTTGTTTGTTCTCCATTCGGCCCAGCATCACCTCCTTCCGCGCCTTTCCGCGGTCCAGGCAACTAAGAATGTGCCGCGAACACCGCTGCTGAACTCTTTTCCACCTCTTTCGGATCGCCGCTTCCCTGCACGCTCCCCGCACGCTCACTCTCTCATCTCCCATTCCCCTCCTCTCCCCTTCTCCCCTCCCTTTCCCCCGCCTCCCCCCGTACTACCGCTGCTCTCCCCCTCTTCCCCGTGGAGGCAGTCGAGGCGGGGAAGGAGCTGCGCACGCGCGTGAGGATCCACAACGATTACTCCAAGGACGTCGTTATCACGGTCAGTCTCCTCCTATCTCGAGTTGATTGTTGGGATTGATTGTGACTTTTGATTTGATTGAGTCGACTCAAAAGGAGCTGCGCACACGCGTGAGGATCCACAACGACTGCTCCAAGGATGTCCTCATCACGGTCAGTCTCCTCCTACGTAACTGCTCACTGCTCCGCTGCTCACTGCTCCGCTGCTCACTGCTCCGCTGCTCACTGCTCCGCTGCTCACTGCTCCGCTGCTCACTGCTCCGCTGCTCACTGCTCCGCTGCTCACTGCTCCGCTGCTCACTGCTCCGCTGCTCACTGCTCCGCTGCTCACTGCTCCGCTGCTCACTGCTCTGCTGCTCACTGCTCCGCTGCTCACTGAGCTGCTCCGCTGTGAGCTGCTCCGCTGTTAGTAGTAGCTCACAAAGACTGCTCCAAGGATGTCGTCATCACGGTCAGTCTCCTCCTACCTTCCCGCGTAGAACTAGAACCGTGCATGTCGTAATTGCTCACTCCTGCGATGATGTGAGGCACCTATCAGTTGGCTCCTTCCTCCTACCTCGTATCTAAGGACGTCGTCATCTCCTATCAGTTGCTCACAACGATTACTCCAAGCACGTCGTCATCTCCTATCAGTTGCTCACAACGATTACTCCAAGCACGTCGTCATCTCCTATCAGTTGCTCACAACGATTACTCCAAGCACGTCGTCATCTCCTATCAGTTGCTCACAACGATTACTCCAAGCACGTCGTCATCTCCTATCAGTTGCTCACAACGATTACTCCAAGCATGTCGTCATCTCCTATCAGTTGCTCACAACGATTACTCCAAGCACGTCGTCATCTCCTATCAGTTGCTCACAACGATTACTCCAAGCACGTCGTCATCTCCTATCAGTTGCTCACAACGATTACTCCAAGCACGTCGTCATCTCCTATCAGTTGCTCACAACGATTACTCCAAGCACGTCGTCATCTCCTATCAGTTGCTCACAACGATTACTCCAAGCACGTCGTCATCTCCTATCAGTTGCTCACAACGATTACTCCAAGCACGTCGTCATCTCCTATCAGTTGTTCACAACGATTACTCCAAGCACGTCGTCATCACGGTCAGTTGGCTTGGCTCCTTCCTCCTACCTCGTATCTATCAGCGACTGACAGTGACTTAACTAGTGCTATGCTGTCAGAGCCCTATTGCTCACAACGACTGCTCCAAAGACGTCGTTATCACGGTCAGTTTCCCTCCTATCCACCTGCTCATTGCTCGCTGTGAGTCCCTCCGCTGTTAGTCTCCCTCCCTCCCTCGCTCACTCTCTCACTCTCTCACTCCCTCCCTCCCTCCCTCCCCCTCCCCCCTCCCCCTCCCCCCCTCCCTCCCTCCCCTCCTCCTTCCCTCCCTCCCGCACCACCAGATAAAGCCGGGCACGGTGCGCAAGTACGAGGTGAAGGACGGCACCAAGATCGTCGTGCCTGAAGGCTCCTCCTTCCTCCTCACTGGTAACCACATGCTCACTGGTAACCACATGCTCACTGGTAACCACATGCTCACTGGTAACCGCCTTTCCTTCCGTTGTCACGCTTAACCGCCTCGTTCCTCTCCATACTTGCTTCTTTGTGATGGCCCGTGTGTCACTGCAAACCACCTCTTTATTCCTCACACGTGCTTTCTCTCCCCCCCACGCCATCCCCGCAGTGTCGTGCGTGCCGCTGTCGTCCATGCCATGCCCTTCTGGCCCGACGCGTCTCAGTACCACCCGACGCGTCTCAGTACCACCCGACGCGTCTCAGTACCACCCGACGCGTCTCAGTACCACCCGACGCGTCTCTGTACCACCCTACCCACCCGTCGCCCCTCTTCCCCCCACCCCACCCCTGCTCGCTGCAGTGTCGTGCGTGCCGCTGTCGTCCATGACATGCCCTTCTGGCCCAACGTGCCTCGCTGGCACCCGACCCGCCCCCCTCCCCTCTCTTCCCCCTCTCTTCCCCCTCTCTTCCCCCCCACGCCATCCCCGCAGTGTCGTGCCTGCCGCTGTCGTCCATGCCCTTCTGGCCCGACGCCTTCGTGCTGGCATGCCACATGCCCGCTGACAAGTTCACCCGCCGCCTCACGCTGCACACGGTGAGTGAGTTACTCAGCGTGTAGGGTGGGGAGGAAATGGTGGGAGGGACCTTACCTTCACATGCACACAGCAGAGAGAGTGCAGTGAGACGCCTTTGTGCCGGCATGCCACATGCCCGCTGATGTTTCACCCGCCGCCTCACGCTGCACATTGTGAGTGCGTAAAGGCAGGGGCATTGGAAGGAGCGACCGTCTTCACACTGCGAGGGGCACTGGTGCCTAACTTTGTGAGGCTGAAATGGCTGTGCAAGGAAGGTGGGATAAGGGGGGAATTCCAGTGCAAGCAACGCAGTGCGTCCAGTGCAAGCAACACAGTGCGACCAGTGCAACGTTATGTTAGGTCAATGTTTTGTTACTACTACGCGTGACCTTTGCCTCCCTTACCCCCTCGTCTTCCCCTCGACTTTGTTTCCCTCCGTTTGCATTCCTTTTCCCGTTTTTTTTTTTTACCTGTCCGTCTTGCCCTCCCCAGCCCATATCGTCGCTGCGCGTCGTGTGCCAGACGAAGCTTCCACTCGATCTGTACACCTGACACTCTCTCTTCCCCCCCGCCTCTCTCCCCTCTCCTCCCCCTCTCTCCTGCTCCGCCCCTATCAGCCCATGTCACAATTGCGCGCTGTGTGCCAGATGAAGCTGCCAGTGCTTTTCACAGACGAGGTCACCAAGGGGGTGGCGGAGGCGAGGAGCAGTGTTTCCCTCTCACTCACTCTTCCGTTTTGTTTCCTTTCCTCGCCCTCTCACCCACCCACAGCCCATGTCACAACTGCACGCTGTGTGCCAGATGAAGCTGCCAGTGCTGTTCACAGACGAAGTCACCAAGAGAGTGGCAGAGGAGCAGTGTATCCCTTACACTCCCTCTTCCGTTTTTTCCCTTTCCTCTCCCTCTCGCCTCGTCCCCAGCCCATGTCGCAACTGCGCGCTGTGTGCCAGATGAAGCTGCCAGTGCTCTTCACAGATGAAGTCACCAAGGGGGTGGCAGAGGAGCAACATGCGCAGGCGCTGGCACAGGCCCAGAAGCACAAGGAGAAGGGGAAGGCGAAGGAAAAGCAGGCGCAAGCGCTGAAAACCGTGAAGGAAGGGGAGGAGGGCGGGCAGGGAGGAGCGGAAGGGACAAGATCGCAGGGGGGGAAAGGCGGGAAGGGAGGGAAGGTGAAATTTGCAGGAGAGGCAACTGTGAAAGATGGGCTTTCACGTGTGTGGAAAGGCGGCAAGACAAAGAAGGATTTGGAAGAAGAGCAGGAGGAGGCGAGGAGGAAGGAGGAGGAGAGGAGGAGGGAGGAGGAGAGGAGGAGGCGGGAGGAGGAGGAGAGGCGGCTGATGGAGAGGGCGGAGAGGAGGGAGGAGATGAGTGGGCAGTCAATGGACCGGCTTCTCACCTCCATTGCTGCCAAGGACAAGAGCCACGTCTATGTGCGTGCATACCAGTGCCTGCATGCTTCCTGTCTCTACGCATGCATGTTCCCCAGTCTACACATGGACAAGAGCCACGGCTATGTGGGAGAACACACACGACGATGTGGACCCTCTCATCACGGCGATGTGGACCCTCTCATCAAGACGTCACGCGCGGACTTAAAGCTGCTGCATGTCCAGTTCACATTGCACACGCTTCCCCCTTGCCATATCGCACACCCCTTCCCTCCTCTCTCTCCCTCTCCCCCTCCCCACTACAGCTGTGGGAGCTCTTTCTCAAGACGTCCCGCGCGGATTTCAAGCTGCTCTCCCTTCTCCCCTACTCCCCCTCCCCCCTGCCCCCGTTCCCCTCTCCCCCTCCCCCCCTGCCCCCGTTCCCCTATCCCCCTCCCCCCTTCCCCCGTTCCCCTCTCCCCCTCCCCACTACAGCTGTGGGAGCTGTTTCTCAAGACGTCCCGCGCGGATTTCAAGCTGCTGCAGCACCGCCTGGAGGCAGCACTGCTGGAGGTGCAGGCCGTCAAGTCGCAACTGGTGGGTGCTGCTGGGTGCTGCTGGGTGCTGCTGGGTGCTGCTGGGTGCTGCTGGGTGCTGCTTGGTGGTGGTGAGAGGCAAGGCAGTGGATGTGGGTGCATGCAATGCAAGCAAGGTCAGAGCAGCGCTTTGCTTTCTGACCAATCTCACGACCTCATTGCTGGGCCTCCATTGCTCTCCTTCTCGCTCTGTACCCGGCACACCAAGCTCCCTCACACCAATCTCCGTCGCACCAAGCTCCTTCACACCAATCTCCGTCGCACCAAGCTCCTTCACACCAATCTCCTTGGCACCAAGCTCCTTCAATCTCCATATTCAGGTACACAACTCCTCTCCATCCCTCTCCCCCTCCTCAGCACCCCCTTCCCCCACACCTCCCCTTGCTCCCACTTCCTCTCCCTTCCTCCCTCTCTCGTTTCACTTGGATTTTCGGACCTGCAAACCCTCTCTCCGTATCATTCTCAAACCTCGCTGACTCCTCGTTGCTTTTTGAGTCTCTCGCTTAACTCATCTTTTCCTCCCCCCTTCCTTCACCAGGTCATGGATCCGCCTGCTCTCACCATCTCCTTCTCAAGCCTCTCCGACTCCTCGCCGCTTTTTGAGTCGACTCATGAGTCTTCCCCCTACCTCGCCCCTACTTCCCCCTACCTCGCCCCTACTTCCCCCTACCTCGCCCCTACTTCCCCCTACCTCGCCCCTACTTCCCCTCTTCCCCTTACCTTCCCCTCTTCCCCTTACCCTCCCCTCTTCCCCTTATCTTCCCCTCTTCCCCTTACCTTCCCCTCTTCCCCTTACCTTCCCCTCTTCCCCTTACCTTCCCCTCTTCCCCTTACCTTCCCCTCTTCCCCTTACCTTCCCCTCTTCCCCTTACCTTCCCCTCTCCCCCTTACCTTCCCCTCTCCCCCTTACCTTCCCCTCTCCCCCCTAACTGCATCCAGGTCATGGATCTGCCAGCTCTCACCGTCTCCTTCTCAAGCCTCTCCGACTCCTCGCTCCCCTCGCCCACCAAAGCCTCCTCCGCACCCTCCCGAGACACCAGCTTCGCACCACCGCACTCCACCGCTCCCTACTCCCGCTCCTTTTCCAACAACCAGCTGAACCCCTCCGGCAGCAGCAGCAGCTCAGAACACGCCAACATGCGCCCGCCCTTCACCCCGAAACCCACCACGTCCGAATCCGCACTGCTCCCAGTGTCCATCTCCTCGCTCTCCTCCGCCCAGCTGTCCTCTCTGACCTCTCTGGCGTCCTCCTCCAGCAGTCTGCAGCTGGGCGGGTCAGGGGGGTCGCGGACCCTGAGCAAGTGGGGCGCGGGGGGGGAGAGTGCGGTTGAGAAGGAGCTGCAGCGCAAGGAGATGATGCGGAGGGCGTTGATAGAGGAGAACAACGAGCTCAAGGATAGGCTGGAGGAGAAGGAGAAGCGGGAGAGGCAGGCGCTGCGCAAGGCGGATGTCATGAAACAGGATGCGGTGAGTGGGGCGGGGCGGGGCGGGCGGGTGAGGTGAGGGTGGGGTGTGGAGAAGGGGGAACATGCTTGTGTGCTTTCTTTGGAGGAGAGGGAGAAGAAGGAGCGGCAGGCGCTGCGCAAGGCGGATGTCATGAAACAGGACGCGGTGAGTTGGGCGGGCAGGTGAGGTGGGTGGGGGTGGGGTGTGTTGGGGGGGGATGCATGTATGGTTCCTTTGTTTATTATTCTCAAAGGTGAGTGGGGTACGGCAGGGGAGAGTGCGGGGGAAAAGGAGCTTCAGCGCAAGGAGATGATGCCGCGGGCGCTGATTGAAGAGAATAATGAGTTGAAGGATAGGTTGGAGGAACGGGAGAAGAAGGAAAGGCAGGCTCTGCGCAAGGCGGAAGTTATGAAGTAGGACGCGGTGAGGAGGGGGGGGGGAGAGGAGGGGGGGAGGTGGGGAAGGCGAAGAGGAGATGAGGGGGAGGAAACGGTTGGGAGGCTGAGCAATAATGGAGTAGTTTTTTAGGGTTTCCTTTCCTCTTGCTCTCTGTGAACGCCCATGTCAGCTTTCCTGTTTCAGTTGTTTCGCTTCCTCTTCCTCTCCCCATGCGCACCACCTTCCCCTCCCATGATTAAAACCTTTCCCATGCAATCCACCTACCTTGTGCCTTCCATCTTGTTCTACAAGCTTTACACCTCACGCCCTCCCCTCCTCGTTCCGATTTTAGTCGTGTTTTGAGTCGACTCAAAACACCTTCCATCTTGTTCTACAAGCTTTACAGCATCACGCCCTCTCCTCCTTGTTCCGATTTTAACACTCGCAATGCACGTGGCAGGACATGACGAGGAGCCAGCTGCAGGCGATGCAGCAGCGGCTGGAGGAGGAGGAGGTGCAGCGGCAGACGCTGCTGAGGGAGCTGCAGGCGCTCAGAGCCCAGGTGGTGAGCGGAGGACAGCAGCTGCAGCAGGCGCAGGCACAGCAGCCGCAGCAGGTGCAGCAGCCACAACAGGGGGTTGCGGAGGAGGAAAAGGAGGAGAAGCAGCAGCAGCAGCAGCAGCAATGGGAGACTGAGGAGCAAGCAGGGGAGTCGCAGGAGGAGACAGACCATGAGCATGCGCATGCGCATGCAGACAAGCAAGGCGAGGAGGGGTTGCAGACTAGTGATCAGTGTAGTGAGAGGGCGAGTAGTGAGAGAGAGGAGGAGGGGGCGAAGAGGAAGGAGAAGAAGGAGAAGAAGAGTAAGGAGGAGAAGAAGGAAAAGAAGAAATCCAAGGAGAAGAAAGCAAAGGAGGGTTCAAAAGGAGGGACTGACGGGGAGGAGGAAATGCAGCAGCAGAAGGAGGTGACGCAGCAACAGCAGCAAGAGCAGCAAAGTCCAGAGCAGCAAGAGCCTGATTTCATGTCATTTCTGATGAAGCAGGCTGCTGCAGATGCTGCCGCGAAGAGTGCTTCACACGGAATAACTACGTATGCTCCTGCTGCTGCTGCTCCCATTGCTGCTCCTGCTGCTGCTCGTCCGGCTGTTGCTGCTGCTCCTGCTTCTGCCAGCGCTGCTGTTACCTCCCCCAGACCAGCAAGTATCAGGACTCCTCGCAAGCTGGAAATTCCGTTCAACAACAACGATGATGATGATGATTATGACATTCGGGGGAGCTTGGCTGCTCCTCCTGCTGCTGCTCAGACCGTTGCTTCTGCCTCTCGTGTTCTTGCCAACGCTGCTCCTGCACCTGCTCCTGCGTCTGCTCCTGTAGCTGCTGCTACTGCATCCCTGGGGGCGTCAGCCAGCAGGGGGCGTGGGAAGCTGGTCATTCCCTTTGACGACGATGACGATGACGATGCCTAATGAAAAGCATGAGATGGAAGAGGGAATAGCATCTGGCAACGCGTTTGAGGCGCTCGAAACATCGCCTCTGGAGCCGTCAGAAAGCAGGGGGTGTGGTAAGCTGGTCATTCCAATTGACGACGAGTCGACGACGACGATGACGATGACGATGTCTAGTCAAAGCAAGAGCGGAAAGGCAGAATACGCAAGTGGAGACGGCAGCATGGTGGCAAGTGGAGGCGGAAGATGTAGAGCAAGAGATGAAAGAGCTCTAGCATGTGTTCACGGCTGCACGCGCAACAGTGTGAGCAGCATGGTGGTACAAGCAGGAATAGTGCTGCTCATAATCCCTCTTGGAGGCGGCAAAGGAAATCACTCGGGTGAATCTCTGCTGGAAGATGATGATCCTGTGACCTGTCTTTTCATGCATGTGGACCTTATCACTTGTCTAGTAAACCTGCTGCGTGGACTCCAAACTAACTGAATGTTTGACTTATATATCGAATTGCTGTATTGAGTGCGATTTCCAATAATTGCAGTTTCTTCTGTGATCGAAACGACAACTTCAAGGCGGACCTCCTCGATTTCCCCGATTCATTGAGGCTTTGTTTTGCATGCGCATCAGTCCGCATCAATGTGCATTGTACATTCTATGATGGCTCCAGAATCCTTCCGCGAAAACCTGCCGACAGGTTATCAAGGCTCGAGATAAGCGCGTGGCTGCCGAGGCAAACCAAGACCAAATACCTGCAGAACGGCCTTTTTGGCGACCAGCACATTTGCCGCGTTCCCAGTAATTTTTCGTCCTACCAATCTGGCGCATCATTGATGCTGGCATCATCCAACTCCGAGAAGTCGGATGATGCGCGCATCAGCTCGAATGGGGCAACTGAAAGCGTGTTCTGTCTGACTTCTACGAAGCCCGCTTCTCCAATTTCACGAAATTGGAGATTGAAATGTCCGCAGCCCAATCTCCAATTTCTCAATCCTCAAACCTCAATGTCCCAATGTCCGCACCCGGCCGAGCCTCAGACGCATCAGAGCTGATGCGCCTGCAGAACGCAGCCTGGAGTCGTTCAGCCAGTCTTCAAGACAAGTTATGCGGGGCAGCAATTTGAGAAATTCGAGAGTTTGAGCAAAATTTCATGGTAACTTCTGCCCAGCAAATTGAGAGATTCGACATTTGGTGCGGCGAGAAGCTACACAGAAGGACTAAGTCCGTACATTTGGTGCGGAGGCAATAACGCCTACAGAACAACGCCTCTGTCGTTTTCAGATTCCGTAACTTAGAGTTCCACCTCCTCAATCAAGCTCCCAGATCAGCGAGAATCTCTACGATTCTTCTTGGTCAGGCAAAATCCGTAGCACTGGTGGTGCCTTTATTGAGCGAACATCTGGGACAAAGCAAGGCCAACGAATCTCGCCGAGGCTGAGAATTCGGTTCTTCTGGGAATGCTGTTTCGCTTCTTCCTTCACAATTGCGTAGCAAGGCAGCTGAAGTTGCGTTCGTAAGAATGGCAGCAGCTGCTGTTCATATCCAGCCGAAGTCTCTGACATTCCCGTGTAAGACAACAGTCACTGACACCTTGTTACCACCATTAGCGGCCTTTCATTAATCAGGCTTTTCTCGACTTGTGTGACGTCATTAGCGACCCCTTCTTTTAAATCGTTCATTGCACAGCATATACAATGAAGTCCTGTACTTTACATCTGGCAGTCGAGGCGAATAAGGAGCTTTCGGTGACCGTTCAAATAATCAACGGTTACCCTCGCGAAATCCTACTCTTTGTGAGTGACAGGAAGATGCGAACCAAGGGAGGAGGATGTGAGGAGGATGATGTGAGGAGGAACATGTGAGGAAGATGTGAGGAGGATGATGTGAGGAGGAAGATGTGAGGAAGAAGATGTGAGGAGGATGATGTGAGGAAGAAAATGCGAGGAGGAGGATGTGAGTATTTTCTGTTTCCTCCTCAACGATCCGTTCAATGTTCTTTGCAGCGGCGTTAGACGATTCTTCTGTCTGATTTTTAGCATTCTGCCTTTTATCCTCGCCAAATCAAATCACTCTGCTTCGCTCTCTTGCGCCCTGCACCACTCACTCTCGCAACTTCTCCACCCTTCTCCGCTGTTGGAGCAGGTGGACCCTGGGTCAGTGCGAAGCTACGCGGTGGTGGAAGGGCTGAAGCACATTGTGCAGACAGGACGGTCGATTATTGACATTTGATTCGACTCAAGAGTCCCATTGTTCCGTGTGCAGGTGGAGCCTGGTTCAGTGCGACGCTACGCGGTGGTGGAAGGGCTGAAGCACATTGTGCCGACTGGAGGATCCACCACACTCACAAGTACGCTCTGTCTGACGCTAACAAGTAGGCATGGCATCACACTCGCAGGTACGCACTGTTTGATGCTAACAAGTATGCATGGCGTCACACTCGCAAGTATGCATGGCGTCACACTCGCAAGTATGCATGGCGTCACACTCGCAAGTATGCATGGCGTCACACTCGCAAGTATGCATGGCGTCACACTCGCAAGTATGCATGGCGTCACACTCACAAGTATGCATGGCGTCACACTCACAAGTATGCATGGCGTCACACTCACAAGTATGCATTTCATCACTCACAAGTATGCATTGCATCACACTCACAAGTATGCATGGCATCACACTCACAAGTATGCATGGCATCACACTCACAAGTATGCATTGCATCATCTCGGTCACACGTATGGCATCACATTCACTAGTATGCATTGCGTCACACTCACTGTTATGCATTGTATCATTTTCTAACTTCCTCGACCTTCCTCTCTTCATCTCTCACCCACCTTCCCCTCTCCGTCCCTCACCCACCTTCCTCTCTCCCCCCCAGTGCTGTGCTCTCCCCTGCCAGCCATGCCCATCTTCCCTGACCAATTCCGTGTAACCACCTACAGGGCTGGTTACCACTCCTCAGACGCCCTATCGATCTGCAGTGTACGTCACTCACTCACCCCCACTGCACATCACTCGCCTTGATTAAGCGCCGCGTATGCCTCTCATACTATGTCGCGTCTGAAGCCTCTCATACAATGACGCATCTGAAGCCTGTCATGCTATGACGCACCTGAAGGTTCTCGGGCTGTTGCGCGTCTGAAGGCTCTCAAGCTTCGCAGCTCTTAGAATATGGCCAGACAGCTGGCTCTCGAGGCACCTGCAACCGTTGTGTATCTTGTGTCTTTGTCCACTCCAGCCATGCTCTTTAACCTCCAAGCCACGGCGACTTTTGAGTCGACTCAAAAGTCATCTTGTGTCTTTGTCCACTCCAGCCATGCTCTTTAACCTCCAAGCCACGGCGACTTTTGAGTCGACTCAAAAGTCATCTTGTGTCTTGGTCCACTCCAGCCATGCTCTTTAACCTCCAAGCCACGGCGACTTTTGAGTCGACTCAAAAGTCATCTTGTGTCTTTGTCCACTCCAGCCATGCTCTTTAACCTCCAAGCCACGGCGACTTTTGAGTCGACTCAAAAGTCATCTTGTGTCTTTGTCCACTCCAGCCATGCTCTTTAACCTCCAAGCCACGGCCATGCCTGTGCTTGAGTCATCTGACGAGATGCCATGCGTAACGCAACGCATATGCATACTTGTCAGTGTGACCCAACACGTGTGTACCTTACACCCGCAATCCCTTCCCCTCTCCCACAACCCCACCCCATCCCCCTCTCTTGTTACAGCCGCTGTCCTCTCTTGAGATTGTGAGTGCAACCAATCTGCCAGTGCTGTTCGTCTGCAAGTCTGCCAGCACGAGGGGAGTAGCGTCTTCAGGAATGGGTGAGAAGCGGGGGATAGCAGCAGCGCATGCAGCACGGGAAGGGATTGGGGTAATGTGGGCAGTAGTGAGAGATAAGCTAGGGAGGCTGCAGCAGGAGAGGATGGGGGAGGGACAGGAAGAGGAGAAGGTGAGGGAGGAGGAGCAGCAGGTTGAGCTGGGAGCGGTAGACAGGCGGATAATTCTATCCAAGGGTGGTGTGGCGGCAAAGGAAATGGCGCGAGTGCGGGAATTGGATTCTGCTCAAAGTGAAAGCAAAGGGCGAGTTCAAGGGGTTGGGCGAGGGCAAGAATCAGGAACGGAAGGAACGAGGATCGAAGGAGGGAGGGAAAGTCCCGGAACAGAGGGAGCAGGGACTGAAGGAGTATGGAGGGAAGGAGCAGCAGCAGAGATGAGTTCAGCGGCCAACAACCCAACAAAGTGGCTCATATCACGAGTCATGAGCCGGCATCCGAGCCACGAATATGTATGTACGTGCTGCTGTGACTTTTCAGTCGACCCACATGGTCACCTCATATATCACGAGTCATGAGCCGGCGTCCAAGCCACGAATATGTATGTACGTGCTGCTGCCACTTCTCAGTCCAGTCCTCTGAAAGGTCGTCCCATTTCAGCAGCAGCAGAGAGGAGTTTACCAGGTCACAATTTAACGAGGTGGCTCATATCACGAGCCATGAGCCGGCATCCGAGCCACGAATATGTATGTACGTGCTTCTGTGAGTTCTCAGTCGCCTCCAATAGTCACCTCATTTCACAGCCGCCCCCCCCCCTCTCGAATGGTCCTGGTATTGATTGATGGGAGATACATGGGAAGATGCAAACACATGCAAACCCAGACATAACACTCGGTCTACCTAACTACCTCATTCCCTTACTCCCTCCCGCCCCCTCCGTCCGACCCTAAAGGTCAAACGAGGGCTCTATTAGCTGGTAGAGCTGGCCTTCGCTAAGGGGGGCAAAGGGGCCCCGCATGCCGAGCTCGTCCGCTGCTATCGCCTCGTTGGTCTTGCAGCGGAGGGCGTTGGCTTGTGCTTTTTGGAGGCACACGCTCCAGCGCTGGCGGTATTCCGTCAGCAGCTTGGCGGCCTCGTAGGAGTTGGGGGCTGCGTTGAATCGCAACTTGGCCGCCAGCTCCGCGCACTGCCGCAAGAATGCCAACACCCCGGGCGAGGGGTACCCATATGTCTCTACCGCTAGGGCATGAAAGCCCACCCACGCATTCCGGCGCGCGTATTTCTGCTCCTTCTTGTCCGCAGCTGCCCTAGCCGCCCACCCCGGTGCTCTATTGCAGTTCTCATCTTGGTGAGAAACGGGGTCCGTCACTGTCACGTCGCACATCCAAACCTCTCCCGTCCGGGGATGGCGGATTGCGACGTCCGCCTTCAGGTTTTCAACGAGAGAGTATACATAGGTTTCTTTGTGCACCGTGAATCCCGCCTCTGCCGCAATCAAAGCAATCTCGTCCCTGAGCGCATGGTGAGTCGCAATCCTTCCCCCCCCTTTCTCGCAGCGCATGAGATGGTTTGGGAGGCGGTCATCAGGGAATTTGGTGCGGTAGCGGCAGTCGCAGCGCCTGGGGACAGGTAGGGGGGGAGGCCCAGGCGGAACGCAGCAGCGGAGGAGAGCTGGGAGGGTCCCATCCTAAGCGAGGGTATGATGGGTAGTGCCAGCAGCCAATCTCCCGCACCAGGGCCGAGCACCGACTGCATTCTCTGGGCATGGCCAGAGAGGGGGCTGGGGCGCATCCGCCTTGCCTGGTTCATGACCCTCAGGAAGCGGCGTGTCTGAACCGCCAGCGCTAGAGACTGCTGCAGCTTGAGGCCCTGTGGGTCTGCTTTCCCGGCCTGGAGAGCTTCTAGAGCCTCGGGGGGGAGGGCTGCTTCCGCTGCTGCAAGGCGTGCAGGCAGGGCGTGCGCGGAGCCGGAGGTGGGGTCCATTAGGGGGAGGAGGGCTGCTACATCTGGGTGGAGTGCCTCGGCCAGGGAGTGCAGTAAGTGGGAGGTGCCCACCACGGACGCAAGGTACGCATAGCTCCCTTCAACTGCAGGATTTGTAATGCCAAGCCCCCCCAATGTTACGGCCAGCGCTGCTTGCCTCCAGATTCTCCTCTGTTCCGCGTCACTCCTTGGCAGCATGATATGGGCCGCGTCCAGGAAGGTATGCCGCAGTTGCTCCCCCCATGCCGCCCATTCATCCTCAGGTAGTGCCTCTAGCGGAGTGGTTCTGGCCAGGAAGGATGCTCGCCGGCCCACGCAGCGGGTGAGTCGCAGCAGGCACAATTGGGGGTCCATTTGGGCTAGGAGCGGCAAGGGTTCTGCTGCTGCTGCAAGCCTTTCCCTTACTCTGGCGGCACAGCCATCTGAGGTCCCGATTGGGCTTCCTAATATCCGCAGTCCGTCTGCTGCAATGGGGAAGCTCGGAGGGAGAGAGGCGGGGTCTATGGTGGTTGCAGACCAAGCCTCACACTTCCCAAGGTTGTGCTCGAGGCCTATGTGGATCAGTGCGGCAGTGAGGTGTGTAAATGCCGCCGTGCACGCTTCTGCTTCGCCTAGCAGCGTTATGTCGTCTGCATAGGCGAGAGTGACGACCCTTGGGTGAGCTAGTGCCGTTGCGGTAAGGTGTGGGTGGATGCTTGCCGCAAAGAGCAAGGGGCCAAGAGGGTCCCCCTGGCGGACGCCTCTAGCACTTAGCAGTGGAGCCACGCCGAAGTCATGGTCGAGGTGGAGTGCTGAGGGAGTTCCGTAGGAGAGGCGGACAAGGGGCAGAAGGCTTTCAAGGGACTCGTTCTTGAGCCCCTCGAATACCGCCGCCCTTTCCACCGCGTTAAACGCGTTGGCGAGGTCAATCTGCAGCGCCACCGAGCCCGGGTTCTCCTCCAGGTATGTGCGCGCAGTGTGAATGGCCGCCTCAATCCCTCCAGCCACTGCTACCCCGAACTGTAGAGGCGCGAAGTGTGATCGTGCCGCCGCCCCAGTCAAGAACAGTGCTGCCTTGGCCACCATGCGAAGAAGGCATTCGCCCACGGCTATCGGTCGGGTCCCCCCCTGCAGTTTTGTGAAGGCCAAGAGCCGTGAGGCTGTGAGGAGCTCAGTGGCCTCGCTGCTGAGTTTCCCGGCTATAGCTGTATTGGTAAGTGCGAGGAGATGGGCGAAGATGTCTGGATTTCCGAGTGCAGCATCGCGTATGTGCTCGAAGGTTGTGCCTGAGGGCCCTGCTCCCACCCCGTTTGGGAGTTTGGCTACGATGCGCCTGAAGTCGCGCGGCTCAATCGAAGGGGTTTTCTCGGGGGAGAAGGTGCGTATCCATTCTGGTAAGGGCTGGAGTGCTTGCGGGTGTCGTGCTGCTAATGCCGCGTACACTTCGGAGGAGGCAGGTGAGACCGGAGTGGCTTGGAGGGACTGTAGTGACTTGGCCAGGTTACCACGCTTGGCCAGTCCCTCCGCTCTAGCAAGGATGCCCTGAGTGTCAGGTAAGTGACGTGGCTGGGCTGGGAGGGAAATTGCTTCAACTGCCTCGTCGTACAGGCCAGACCAGAGTCCCTGGCGGAAACGAAGGAGGCGATTCATCATCGCGTTCCAGTCTGGTTTGCGAGCTGACGAGGTGCGTAGGAGGATTCGCGGGAGGAAAGTCAGTAACCTCCACCCCGCGGTCGAGTTGGGATTGGCTGCCAGGTGGAGGAGTGGGGTGAGTAGGCAGACTGCGAATGATTCGCGAAGGTCTTTTGGCGGGTGACGGGCGAGGGGGGGCTGGCGACTGTCGCGCAGTGGGTCCAGGTCCCAGCCTGCGACTTGCGCGAAAAGGTCCAGTCGTTTCGCCAAGTCGCCTGGGTGGATCATTGGTGGGGTTGGAGTTGGGGTTGGGGTGTTCCTATTGGTTGCGGCAGAGTCAAATGTGATTTCTGCCGCGGTCCGATTTCCCCTCCAGGCCTGATTTCCCCCCACATTCCGATTCCTGGCTGGGGTTCGTGTTGCAGACGCGGCTCCAATTTGTTGGTCTGGGAACTCAGCCCCACGAACCAAGAGCTCCTCATCATCTTCATCAGCTTCAGCATCCAAACCTCCCTCCGTTTCGGGGTTAAAACCTGGGTCACCCTCGTCACTCTCGTCATTCTCCGATTCACCACTCTCCCCCCTGCTAGCAGCTTCCTCGCCGCCTTCCGCGCCTTCCCGGAGTAGTCTTTGTGCTGTCCTCGCATAGCCGCTCGCGCCTGTACGTCGGCCTCCTCTCCTCCTAGCTCCTCTTCCTCGGCGTCCTCTCCCGCCTACGCGTCGTCCGCCAGGTGTGCCACTCCTCGCGATTGGGCTGTGCATTACAGGCGTGCGGTTTTCGCCGATCTCCTCCCCTGCCAAGCGGGGCTCTGGCGTCCTCAGCTCACGCCTCGGTCGTGATGGCGGGGTCCGTGGGTCGCGACCGCGCCTTGGAAGCAACCGCGGAGAGCGCTCAGCTTGTTGCGCAGCCAAACCCCGAGTATGCGCCTCCGCGTTCCCAAATGCAGGCTCGTCCTGCTGCGTCGGCGCCCGTGCGCCGTCTTGAGCGCGGGTTGTCTCTTCCGCTGCGCGGGGCGGATCGTCACGCGTCTCCTGAGCAATCCCGTGCTCCCCTAGTCGTCGCGTCGAATGCCTTGCCGGGGCATCAGGAGCGGGGCCGGTCCTCGCCGCCTCGTGGATATCGACCCGCGTCCCCTGCGCGTCGCGCCCCCGAGCCGCATGACTCTCGGCGGCGATGGGACGAATATCAGCGGGAAATTCAGCATCGCGACCGCCGCTACCGCTCTTCTGAGAGGTCGCCGGAGAAGCGCTCCCCGCGGGAGCGGTCCCCTCCGCAGCGGACGCCGCGGCCGTCGCCTCCGCGTCGGGGCCGCGGGGCTCATGCGGGCCGTTGGGATTCTCGCCGCCGTGAGCAGTCCCTGCCCCGTCCTCAGTCGGCTGGGTCTGGAGGGCGTCGTGGGCGGCGGAATGGTTATGCGCGCGGTGGGGGTAGTCGTGGCCAAGGCTCCACTGCTGACCGCGCGGGGAATCTGGTGGCGGATGCAGTGCGGGAGGTGGAAGCGTCGGGGGCAGCGGCTCACATTCACGTGTCTGTGACCACTGAGCCCCCCACCGCACCTGTTGCGGTTGAAGCCGCTCCGCTGCGCGCTCCGAACTTGCGGGAGTATCTGCCAGCTGCAGCGGCGAGGGGGCCGTTCCGCGGACGCCGCCAAGCCCCAGGTTACCCTGCTCCTCAGAATACGGTTGGCCAGACTCCGGGCCAGGTGGCGATGTTTCTGCCGCGCGGAGTTCCGACTGCGCCTCTCCCCAGCCGCGCGGGGAGAGATCCCACGCTGAGCATGTGCCGGATGTGGAATTTGGCGGGGGCGGCCGAGGGGCTGGCGAGCCTGCAGCTGGCGGCGTGTGAGGCCATGGGTCACACACCGAGCAGTTTTTCTCAAGGGCCCCAAGGACAGTGCGTCGCTTGGGCAGGAGAGATTGTCCCCCTTTTATCGCCCGTGTCGGATGCGCCCGCCGGGGTAGCACCCTTAGCCCGTACCTTCCCCCGCCTCGCTCTTGATCTTCACGCTGCGGCTCAGCAGGGGACCCCTGTTGACACTCTTCGCTTCTCGGCGGAGCTTCTCCACTCGATGGCGGGGTGTCTTCTCGCGATGCTTGAGGCGGAGGGGGCTGGCCTGTACACGCAGTAGAGCGGCGTCTCGTGTAGTATTGCATCTTGATCGTAAGGTGATGCTCTCCAGTTGCTTGATTTCTTCCTTCTTGGAATGCCTTGCTTGATCAACTCCTTGTGTGAGTGTCTTGCCTCTGAAACGCGCGGCCGAAGGCCGCCGGCGCGAGCCGCGGGAAACTGAGAACACACGAAATAATGAGGAGAAGAAGGCACCAAGGGCCCTTAAATAGGCTCAGAGGAAGAGGGCCGAGGGAAGAGGAAGAGGGCTGGGTGCTAAGGCCTTCTCTCTCTCGCTGAGAGCCGCGGGAAACTGAGAACACACGAAATAATGAGGAGAAGAAGGCACCAAGGGCCCTTAAATAGGCTCAGAGGAAGAGGGCCGAGGGAAGAGGAAGAGGGCTGGGTGCTAAGGCCTTCTCTCTCTCTCTCCCTTCCTTACCAGTCCTCCTCCCGCTTCCTCCTCCCCTTAATGGCTCTTATGAGTGTCTTGATGTTGGTCAAACTCTAGCCCTCTTCCTTCACCCCACGCCCCTCCCTCCCATCCCTCGCTCCCGCTTTCTCCCTCACTTATGACTCGACTCAATTCCTCCCCTTTCCCCGCCCCCCCCTCCCCCCTCCCCCTTCCCCCCTCCAAGCAGCTGTGGGAGAGATTTCTTAAGTCCACTCGTGCGGACTTTGCAGGACTGCAGAGGCACGTGGTGGACGTGAGCTTGCAGATGGAGCAGTTGCGGGAGGAGAACCAGAGGCTCAGGGAGGCGCTGCAGCAACAGCAGGTACAGGGGGCAGAGGGGGGCACGCTAGAGGTAGGTGTTACGATCACTGTACCCCACGCAGAGGCACGTGGTGGACGTGGGCATGCAGATGGAGCAGTTTCGGGAGGAGAACCAGAGGCTCAGGGAGGCGTTGCAGCAACAGCAGCAGCAGGTATGGGAGACAGATGGGGGCAGGCTACAGGTAGGTAGGTGCTGCATCCGTCAAGCTTGGTGGTTTCTAGTTTCAGATGACACTGCAATGCCTGTTACGTAGAAAGGATGACACCATGGTTCAAAGGGACTTGGCTGTTGGTATTGAGTCAGAATGTTGTTGCCACTTGGGGAGGGCAGCTGCTCTAGAGCCACAATGCAGCTGCTGCAGCAGTCTTGAGTTTCACGCACGAATGCTACCAGCAACCACTGACTCGACTTGCCTTGCACTGAGCCATGGTTTGCGTTCTCAAAATCCACCCTTTTCCTGTCCGCCGCCTCTACCTCCCCCCAGTCTGCACAGGTCTTGGAGGTGTGGGAGGGTATGGGGGAGGAGGAGGAGGCGCAGGGGAGGGAGGAGGTGCAGCGAGAGCTCTGGGAGGAGAACAAGCAACTACAGGCTTCTCATGCTTCTGAAGCCTGCGCGGATTCTGAGGCACCTCAAGAAGCACCGCTGGGAGGGAGCAGCGACCTCAATCCTTCTGAAGCTTCAGAGGCTTCTGAGGCTTTTCAGCCTTCAGAGGCTTCTGCGACTTCAGCGGCTTCAGAGGCCTTAAATGTGGGTCAAAGGACACTGGTGGAGGAGAGGGTGGAGGAGAGGGAGAGGGCTGTGAGGGCGGCTCAGAGCACTTTGGACGCTCTCTCCTGTGAGCTGGTGAGTGGTCCGTCTGTGGAGCATTGGTGATGGCTGGCATGCACTCCGCACCCCTTCTCACCACACCCCTGCTCAACACTTGTTTCCTCACCGCTCCGCCCCTTCTTCTCTCCCCCAACCCCTGCAGGCAGCAGCGCAGTCCCAGTTGTCAGCAGCGCAGCAGCAGGCGCAGTTGGAGAGAGAGGGGCGGCAGAGGCTGGCAGGGGAGCTGGCTTCCATGCAGGCGCTGCTGCTGCAGCAGATGCAGATGGTGGCGGAACAGAAGGAGCTCATTGCAAGGCTCCTTGAGCGTGAGCAGCATCAGGCTGACGTTTTAGAGCCAGGAGGGTCAGGGACAGTGGGCCACGGGGCAGTGGGCCAAGGGGCAGTGGGCCAAGGGGCAGTGGGCCAAGGGGCAGTGGGCCAAGGGGCAGTGGGCCAAGGGGCAGTGGGCCAAGGGGCAGTGGGCCAAGGGGCAGTGGGCCAAGGGGCAGTGGGCCAAGGGGCAGTGGGCCACGGGGCAGTGGGCCAAGGGGCAGTGGGCCAAGGGGCAGTGGGCCAAGGGGCAGTGGGCCAAGGGGCAGTGGGCCAAGGGGCAGTGGGCCAAGGGGCAGTGGGCCAAGGGGCAGTGGGCCAAGGGGCAGTGGGCCAAGGGGCAGTGGGCCAAGGGGCAGTGGGCCAAGGGGCAGTGGGCCAAGGGGCAGTGGGCCAAGGGGCAGTGGGCCAAGGGGCAGTGGGCCAAGGGGCAGTGGGCCAAGGGGCAGTGGGCCAAGGGGCAGTGGGCCAAGGGGCAGTGGGCCAAGGGGCAGTGGGCCAAGGGGCAGTGGGCCAAGGGGCAGTGGGCCAAGGGGCAGTGGGCCAAGGGGCAGTGGGCCAAGGGGCAGTGGGCCAAGGGGCAGTGGGCCAAGGGGCAGTGGGCCAAGGGGCAGTGGGCCAAGGGGCAGTGGGCCCAGGAGCAGTGGGATCAGGGGTTGTGGGATCAGGGGCAGGGGAATCAGGGACAGGGGAATTAGGACCAGAGGAATTAGGGTCAGGGGAATCAGGGGCAGGGGAATCAGGGGCAGGGGAATCAGGGGTACGGGAATCAGGGGCACGGGAATCAGGGGTAGGGGAATCAGGGGCAGAGGGATCAGGGGCAGGAGGGTCACAGGTAGTGGGATCAGAGGTAGTGAGGTCAGAGGTAGCGGGGTCAGAGGTAGTTAGGTCACAAATAGGGAATTCAGAAGCAGTGGGGTTAGGGAGAGAGGTTGAGGATTGCGAGAGTAGGAGTACGGGCGATGGGGATGGACGGAAGGATAAGAAGGAGAAGAGGGAGAGGAAGGAACGGAAGGAGAGAGAGAGGCAGGAGAGAAAGGAGAGAAAGGAGAGGGAAAAAAGGGAGAAGCGGGAGAAAGGGGAGAAAGGGGAGGATAGGGAGGAGAGGGAAGAGAGGGAGGGGAGGGAGGGGAGGGAGGAGAGGGATGAGAGGGATGAAAGGGAACAGGAGCAGGTGGAGTGCCTTGACAGGAAGGATGCACGAAGAGCAGAAGTGGGAGGAGTTCAGAGGAGTGCGGATGGCAGAAAGCGAGGTGACTGGTGTGATGAAACAGGTGGTGCGGACTATGGTGAGGGGGAGCGATGCAGAGGTGGGGCAGAAGAGGCAGCTGCAGCCGTGGAGAGAAAAAGAGAGGAGCATAGAGGCCCTCAGAATTTCGAGGCTCTGGGCGTTCTGGAAGGCAGGGCGGGCGACAAGCACTAAACGGAGATGTGGCAAGTGTGGGGAGGGTTGAGGAGGGTGAGGAGGGGAAGCCGGTGAAAGCAACGGAAGGGTCAATGGGCCTGCAATAACCAGTGAAGCTGGTGGGTGTGAAGCTAAAGTGGGTAGTTGGGGATGCTGCAGCGGGCAAGCAGAGAGCAAGTGAGATGATATGATGGAGTGAAGCAGATCGGAACTGATCCGGGCCAGTATACAGTTTTATGGTACCTTTGTGACAGTGTACGGTAACACTTTGGCAAGGTGCAACAGTAATGTTGGTGTTCGATACGGTGTGTTACAGGTGTTTACAACAATATGGCGCCTGTTTCATTTGCTTGCATGAATCTGTAGACACGTGGCAACAGCAGCAGCAGCAGCTGAACAACCACCAGACAGCATGACATCAAACAAGCTACAGACTTCTAGAGTCAACTCAATGCTACAATTTTTGAGGCGCCTCAAAAAACAACCACCAGACGGCATGACATTTGAGTCGACTCAACAGTCACCTCTGAACAACCACCAGACGGCATGACATTAAAAAAGCCATGGAAATATAACTACAGACTTCTAGAGTCAACTCAATGCTGCAGCTCCCCCACACCGGCCACTATTTCCCCCTCTCCTCCAACGCTCCCTCGGCAGCCTCTCTTGCCGCACGGTAGGCTGAAAACACTGCTGCCAGCTCGCCTTCTCGAGCAAAGGACGCGCCCTCTGTCAGCAACCCGCCTGGAGGCAGGCGGGATAAGTATACGGAAAAGAGTGGCGCAATTAAGTTGGTGTGACAAAAGCAAGCGGGCAGGAGAGGGTGCGAACATGGGTTGGAAGTGACATTTGAGTCGACTCAAAAGGCAGGAGAGGGTGCGAACATGGGTTGGAAGTGACTTTTGAGTCGACTCAAAAGGCAGGAGAGGGTGCGAACATGGGTTGGAAGTGACTTTTGAGTCGACTCAAAAGGCAGGAGAGGGTGCGAACATGGGTTGGAAGTATGGGTGCCGCCTGCAGGTTTTGGATGTTGCAGAAAATTGCCGGGCAGCCAGCGGGGGAGTTTTGGAAAAACTCAAAAGCTCCCTACTTCTTACATGTTTTGAGTCGCTGCAGGGAGTTGTCATAGAGCCAGCATGCTGCATCGGCCTGCTCTACGTCCAATACCTCTGCCTGTGAGAGAAGCATGTGGGGCGCACAGACACATGCATGCATGCATGAGACAAGGGGCGAGGGAGACATGCATCCATGCATGAAACAAGGGGGGCCGAGGGACAAGGGGCGACAGACAAGCACAGATGCATGAGTGTTGCATGCATGGTTAGCAACCAGACGGGTGTGGTGAGGCAAGGTGAGGTGAGGTGAGGCGAGATGAGGTGAGGAGAGGAAGCATATGCAGCAGTCTGAGACAGATGCGATTTGGATGAAAGGCTGTGCCGATGATGGGTGCATGTGATGGGTGCAGATGATGGGTGCATGTGATGGGTGCATGTGATGGGTGCATGTGATGGGTGCATGTGATGGGTGCATGTGATGGGTGCATGTGATGGGTGGATGTGATGGGTGTGGTAAAGGGGGATGACTGGCAGGAATAGCAAAGTCTTACAGCATCAGACTGAATGTGTCGTTCGATGGGGAGATGCGCAAATAGCCTGGCAGGGACGTGAGTGGGCAGAGCAGAACAGGTAGCGTGAGCATGAGTGCATCCAATCCGAAACAGGCAAAGACCTGCACACTCAACCACCTGCACGCTCAACCACCTGCACACTCAACCACCTGCACGCTCAACCACCTGCACGCTCAACCACCAGCACGCTCAACCACCTGCACGCTCAACCACCTGCACGCTCAACCACCTGCACGCTCAACCACCTGCACGCTCAACCACCTGCACGCTCAACCACCTGCACGCTCAACCACCTGCACGCTCAACCACCTGCACGCTCAACCACCTGCACGCTCAACCACCTGCACGCTCAACCACCTGCACGCTCAACCACCTGCACGCTCAACCACCAGCACGCTCAACCACCTGCACGCTCAACCACCTGCACGCTCAACCACCTGCACGCTCAACCACCTGCACGCTCAACCACCTGCACGCTCAACCACCTGCACGCTCAACCACCTGCACGCTCAACCACCTGCACGCTCAACCACCTGCACGCTCAACCACCTGCACGCTCAACCACCTGCACGCTCAACCACCTGCACGCTCAACCACCTGCACGCTCAACCACCTGCACGCTCAACCACCTGCACGCTCAACCACCTGCACGCTCAACCACCTGCACGCTCAACCACCTGCACGCTCAACTACCTGCACGCTCAACCACCTGCACGCTCAACCACCTTCACGCTCAACCACCTGCACGCTCAACCACCTGCACGCTCAACCACCTGCACGCTCAACCACCTGCACGCTCAACCACCTTCCCAGCCCCGCCCTGCCCTGCCCTGCCCAGGCCAGCCCGGCCCTGCCCTGCCCGCCTGTAACTTCTGCAGCAGCGACACACTCGTCCCCCCCCCCCCCCCAAATCCCTCCCATCACCTTCCAACACACCCACCCAATCACCCACCCGTGCCACTCACTTCTGTTTCATCACTCGCAACTGCTGCTCTACCAGCCTCCTCGCCTGCCCCGCCCTCTGCTGCAAACCCGCCTGCAGCTGCTGCGGCAGCGGCACCGCCCCCACCACAAACGCCGACGAGGGTGGAGCGGGAGTGTGAGGGGAGGAGGAGGAGGAGGCAGGGGGGGGAGCAGAGGGAGGGGAAGAGAGGGGCCCGAAGAAGAGAGCTTGCAGGGAAGCAACGGCATCCCATGCCTTGTGGTGAGGTGCCTCTTGCACAAAGAGGAGCAAGAGACGAAGGGAGTCTGCAGAAGAGACGGGTGGTGGAAGGAAGTGGGAAAGTTTGGCAAAACGAGGAATCCGTGTAAGTATATGCAGGATAGTGGTGGCATGGCATGGCATGGCATGGCATGGCATGGCATGGCATCGCATCTCATGCCTTACGGTGGGGGGGCTCTTGAGCAAAGAGGAGCAAGAGGCAACGAGAGTCTGCAGGAGAGAAGGGCGGGGAAGGGGAAGGGGAAGGGGAAGGGGAAGGGGAAGGGGAAGGGAGTGTGGGGACTGAAAACCAGACTGGCGTCATCAGTGGTATCACATGATCAAGGCACAGAGGAACATCTCGTCAGAACGTCGTCTCACCAAGGGGCAGGTAGATGAGGGTGGGCGGATAGGGCGCGGTGCGCTGCGTGTGGAAGAGGCAGTAGAGAGTGAACACCGCCCCCACTGCCGCCAGCAGACGCTCCCCCACAAACACACGACCCTCCTTCCCCACTCCCCCCTCCTCCCCTCTTCCCCTCTCCTCCCCTCTCCCCCCCACCTCCTCTCGCGCCCCTTCTTCCTGTGCATCATCTCCCTCCCTGGCTTCTCGTCCTTGGCCCAGTGGCACAGGCACAGCCCCTGCTGCTACACGCGCTGCACCTCCATCCGCAGCACCACTGGCAGGAGAAGTGGCAGCAGCAGTACCAGGTGCAGCGGAGACAGCGGCGGCAGCGGCGGCAGCGGCGTCAGGAGGAGTGGGTCTGCGATGAATGGAGGAGGCATGGCAGCCGGATGGCACAGCCTGCAAGAACCCTGCAGCGTCGTCAGTTCATTGCACAATAGCGCCGGTAATGCCGGTAATGCCGGTAACTGAGTCAGACAGGCGGATTCACCCAAGGCTGGTTTGCTCTCCCACCCGCCGCAGTCCCAGCAGGCCGTTCTAATAGCTCACTTGAAAGACGTTACGGCGGCTCATTTAGGCCGTTCGAAGAGCTCACCTAAGGCCGTTCCGTAGAGCAGCTGCAGGAAGCGGCGCGGGTCGATGTCTTTAGGGCACGCGTCGTGGACGAAGGAGAAGCGGCGCGCTCGCCATACGGCTTTAAATGCCGCCAGCGACGGATCTCCGCGCTGCGAAGGGGGAACAGAGACGATGCAGCTTTTTATCAAGGAGCGCTATTGAACTATGAAGGCGGGAAGCGGTGTGGATGCTGGCTAACTTTCTTGCCACATAGACAAACGTTCATATGTAAAGGCCGCCGGGAACCTACTACCTACTACCTACCTTCACATAGTCGCGCAACAGTTCCTCGACGTCGCGCACGTATCCCGGCACCGCCACTTCCTCCTCCTCCTGCACCTCCTCCATCGCCGCACCGATGCTAGCGGAGTGGCTACAGTGGCCTGGCCCCGTGAAACGGGGGGGGGGAGGAGTGGAACGAGAAAATGGCGGCGTTTTGCGTTGCTTGCTGACTGCTTTACACGGAAAGTACTCACTTTTACGCGGCACGTGAGTATAGGCGTGTAGTGGGCGAAATCGCGCGCATCGGCGAAAATCGTGTTTGTCTCAATTGAATCGACCTAAATTGCTCCCTGCTCGCCACGTGGGCGTTTTTCTAAATTGGATCGACCTCCCTTCCCCCCGCCCCCCCCAGCCCCCTTTTCCCGCCCTTTCCCTACCGTCATTCGGGCAGCCGCATGCTATCGCGTAAAACTCACAAAGAGTCACCATTTCCAAATTCCAGCCAGGCTCCACACATTCGCCACGGGTGGTTGTTCTTATTGGTCGGAAAATTGGTGATTTGTTCAGCGCGCCAGAGTAACATGCACTGGCTCTTTTGGACGCGCCAACGTTATAGGTAGTGTAACAACGACATGGAGTGGTACCTCGATACCGATCATGTACGGTAATGTAGAACCAGGCGACCAATCGACGGTCATGCTCGAGCATGAGTTCAGACCAATTGCCGAGGGCGGATTTGACAGCGTACATGAACCTAATCCTGCATTCATGAACTTATCCTCGCCGCCAAGCTCTGAACATGAGCTTTCATGCCACATCACGACCGTCACAGCTCCCCTCTCTCGTACCCTTTCCCTCTGTGATAGCTATCAACAATCATCCCACCTTTGTGCTCTTTGTGGTTTGTTTCTTGTACTCGCGATACCTTAGTCATTGCAAATTCGTAGCTATTCGGTGGCGTATAGCGTTCTGGGCGTGTGATGGATCTTCGTAGCAAAACGGTCCTCGGTAAACGGCAGGATGAGTCGGGCCACGAGGAATCCGACGGCGGTGAATCGCACGATTCGGACGTCAAGCTCGTCACCGACGAGCACGGGAAAGGCAGGAGAAAGGGGAAGCAACGGAAAGGACCGGAGAAGCAGCATAGCACCGGTGGCTTCAACTTCAAAACCAACATAGTGAACAAGGAGGTGTTGCCGCCCGTCGATGACATCATCACCGCCTTCACCAAAGGTCGTGGGCCGCCGGCTCAAACTAAAGGCTGTCGCGGCCCTACCATCAAGAGTCAGCACTTCCCAACGAAGCCGTTGTACAACGCCCTCGGCCAAAACGCCTTCGTGAGCCCTATGGACGCGATGCGCATTCAGGATGGATACGAGCTCAGCACGGCATTAATCGACTTCCACAACATGTGAGTGCGTTGTTCCCGCGGGTAAGCAGACTCACACTATAGTGCCGGCGCCTAACACCGGCTCTCCGTGTCTGTGTATTCACCCCGCGCAGTTTGCTGAGCATCAGGCATTCCAAAACACCAAGCGGGGAGACATGTGTTGCGCTTGACACTGGAGCGTATTTGATGGCGGCGAATCAACAGGTTCTCTTCACTGGATTCGAGGGCGGCACCATCCTTGACTACAACTACGTCCTTGTAGTTGTAACTACACTGTAAGACATGCATGCACAATCTCGATGTACGCGCGTACCGCGGCATCGCCATGCTGTGTACTTACATTTAAGTTGGTATTGTGGCAGTGAGCCAAGGCATTTCAGCCTTGTTGTTGTCAAGGAGCCTGGCAGGGCAAGAACAACTGCTATAAAATCGGGGAACACGGAGCTTCCGGTGGCCTACCTGTTCGACTCGACTGGTGATCATCGGAACATGGCTCCGTCGGTGTTCGCCGAGATCCAAACGTAAGTTGCACGGGCATGCATCGCCTCCTAAGTTTCGTCGTGCTTATGATCGCACGGTTGATTCGCCGCTTGTAATGCACTTATGCATGCATCGTTGCTGTTTCCAGGCTGCTCGGTCTGGCGCTACAAGCCGAGGAGCCCGGCCTCTCTGCCACCGCAATCAAGCAGCGGCTTGATCCGATGCCTTGCGTCCCGCTTGGGGTAAGCACTCAAATGTTTCGCGCAGTTTTTTTTTAACAGACCTCATCCGTGGAACGTCCATCAATATTGCTCACCTTGTTTGTTTTCGCGTGTGCAGTACTATCAGTGCCCGATGCAGGCCAACCAAGTAGACTGTGGTGTCTACGTTTGCATCTACGCATCTGAGCTTGTTGCCCGTGGCTTCGCTAATCTGGACGATGGGCTGCCAGCCTTGCCCTATGGTGGTGGCCTTTTCCGGAGGAGGATGCGTGCGGACATAGTCGAACATGCACTCAAGCGGTTGATCCCAACCCTGGAGAGGTCCGGAGTTATGGTGCCCCACCAAGATCCGCCGCTCAGCAAGCGCGTGAACAAGCCAGTGTCTCCGGAGCTGGCCGAAATCGACGCGAAGCTGCGTGATGCTGTCGGCAACATCCACAACATCTCCTGCCGCGTGGGGTACTGTGAGAAAGACATCACCAAGCTCGAGCTCCTGGTGGAGAGTCTCACCAACGACTTGTCCACCACCCGCGACGAGCTCACCGCGTTGTCAGCGCAAGTTGCAGCCTTACCAGCACCGCCGCAGCAGGGGCGTATTGGAGGAGCGGGCGGACCCAGCGCGAGAACCGACGACCCTGCCACCCAGCAAATTCTGGCGCCGACTGCGCAACTCGAGCAGCAAGGGGATTCTCATCAGATTCAAACGGCCCTCGGCGTTATCAACGGGCTGCTGCCCGGTTCGCCCGGCGATGCATTGACCTCGTATCGTTGCGGTGCGCGCGGTGGAGCTCTGCCTGCCCCTTCGGAGGATCACTCTGGGTGTATGGGCCCGCCGCCACCGCCATCACACTCTGTCGGGGGAGTGGTTGGATCGGGGGAGTACGCGGGTGTTAGGCTCCTCCCAGACGGAACTTGGCAAGCGAAGATTGTCCCTGAGCCCGGGTCATCAAGGACGCTGATTCTTGGCCACTTCCAAGACCAGCAGCAAGCGGCCCGCGCGTTCGCTGCAGCTGCAGCCGTGCTCAGGCGGAGCAAGCCTCCCCGGGGTCGTGTGTGGCAGCTCGCCGGCGAGGAGATGGACCTGCTGGATGGCTGCACGGCCGAGATCGTGCGGCAGCTCACTGCCGCACGCGTCTGGGGGCGGTGGGAAAGGTGGCGCGTCGAGATTGCTTCCCTCGGTGGTGCCAAACCCGCCCCTGCACCCCCCGCTGTCGTGGCAGCAGCGCCAACCGCACCCGCAGCTGCTCCAACCACACTTGCCCCGGCGAATGCAGGCATCGCCCCTCCTGCCGTGGCTCTTGCACCTGCACAGCCCACACCTCCCGGTGGAGCTACTGCTGTGCACGTCGGAACAACTCCTGTGCCTGCGGGGGTTACTCCCGCCCCACCAGCCCATTCTACGCAAGCCACATTAACCAACCCCCCTGTGCAGGCTCATGTGGTGGCGTTTGCCTCGCTGTCGTTGCCAGAGAGCGACGAGGGGGATGTGGGCAACAACGCGACAACCCACCCGACAGGTATTGATTACTTGCAGCGTGGTGTTTAGACAACGCACTAGCCAGGGTTTAGACATTAACCTGCTGTTCTCGTCTTCAGTGTGTCAGAGCCCAACAGCTGACGAAAGTGTGACGATGATCCAATGCCTCATATCGGCGTGTAATCTCTTTTACTTGGAGCTGATTTTCATGAATACCATGCTGGTTTTCGCACTGTTGCCTTTGTTGCTCTTTGCGGGGTTTGTAGGACTGTAGCATTACCAATATGTTGAACTGCTGGCTGTGAGCCATGTTTTTTAGTTCACTAAAGACCCCAACCTGGCGGCAACAAACCCAAACGACAGTAGTGTTGGAAACAATACGTCTTAAGTACGCTTTGTTGGGTGCAAAATACTATTTTTTGCACTGCAACCAGCCGCCTGCGTGAAGTTATGCATTTTGTGTCTGTTCTGTGTGCATTCGTTTTCGCATTTCATTTCATGTGTTGTTGCTGTGGGATCATGTTCGGCTCATGTTCGTTCATGTCGGCTCATGTTTGTTCATGTCGGCTCGTGTCCGCTCATGTTTGTTTTTCGTCGACGGACATGTGCGTTCATGAATTTTCTGTGTTTCATGAATTTCCTGTGTTTCATGAATGCTCTGTGTCTCATGAATGTCGAGGGTTTTTCATGAGTGCTGTTGAGAGTGTCGAGTGTGTTGAGTTAGGGGCTCGATTGTTTGACCAGCCCCGTTGACCATTTCGCGCTGGTCAATGAAAAAGTGCGCGAAGTCAGGACCCGCGCGTGGGGTCCTGACACGCGCGTGTGGTCGTGCAGGGCCCACGCGTGTGTCGCCACTGTTTCGATCGTGCACAGTGCGCACGATCGATACAGGACGGAGCGACATGATCGCTCCGTCACGCGCAGGACAACGCACGATCGCGTCAGCGATCGTCTTGTCCTGCACGACCGAGAAATATCTCGGTCGTGATGAGGGGCACGTGGGGCACGTGGGGCACGCGAGATTTTACGGTTGACTAACGGGATTTCGCGCTGACCAGGCAAGCAAGAAAATTCGCCAGAAAGTCGCGCTGCTTTGTGTGTTCTCCTTTGTGCACCTAGGACCTCTCTTATATGTGTGCTTGTATTTGCTTTCAAAAACAATGCTTTCATGATTTTCAAGCTTACAATCTACTACTACGTATTGACGAGAGTAGATATACAATGAACTCCTGCCGAAACTCTGCTCTACCAAGACGCTCATTCTGCAAACTAAGCGTGGCATAACTACTCGCTTGGTTCACAAGTGATGTTAAGTGTTGCCTAGTTTATGTTTGTGGTTCTGAGTTAATCGCTTCCGCATAGTTTATGTATGTTATGTTTGTTTAATTAATCTACTTTGCTCTCACACACCAGTGCAAGGTTGGTTCACCACTCTCATTAAACGCTTCCGCTATTACAAGTTTCTACCCAAGAGTTCTCCTCTGCAAAGATCCTAAGGGCTATTTCTCAGCCCAACAAGTAGCATGGTACAACAGATTTTTCATAAAACACTATCTTTTCACTTGTTGTGGGATCAGTGTGTTGCTATGCTGTTTTGCTGGGCGCCGCAGTTGCGTTTTAACATGTAGTAAATGTTTGCAGTTTTATTTTTACCGGTGGCATTGTGCACCCCGTATTTTATTAGAGGATGAGGGTGTATAATTTTCCACAACACCGTCACAACGAATACGCACAGCGAATGACACGCAATAAAGGGGCGATTCTCGGTTCATGTTCCTTCGCGCAAATTAGGGTCAACCCCGTCGACGAATCATGTTGCAGGCATCACGTCCATGAGAGTTCATGTTCGTCTGTGCAGGTAGTCAACTTCCGAGCCACTACCACGAGTTTGTTCATGATTCAAAGTGTAGGCATTCACGCGCGACTTCCAGGACCCGCGCTTGAAGGCTGTTCGAATCATGACAGGTCGAGCTGCGTTCATGCACTACGGAGAGTTCATGATTCGTCATGAACAGCTGCGCGGCATCGCCCCGCGATTTCCAGGCCCTCGCATCATGTATGTAAAACGGTCGATCATGACGCTCTATGCACAGCTGAAGGAGAAAGCAGAGGGAATCAAGTGCACACTTTACACACGTGAATATCCCAACTCTTGGCCTGATTTGTGTGGGTCTTGTTGAATAAGTTTTGCACAGCAGCACTACTCAAATAATCAATTATGTTTCGTATATTAAATTTTCAAGTACTATCGTCAATGAAATGTTTTCTTCGGCAGGGATCCAAGGACACAAAACAAGGCCCAATACTCGCATGGGAAAGCCTGTTTTACTCGCCATTCATTCATGGGCAGCTTGGTGCCCCCCCTCCATGCTCTCCTGTAGCAGTTCCATCCTCCCCCTCCTCCTCCTCCTCCTCCTCCTCCTCCACCTCCTCCCCCACCGCAGCCTGCGCCTGACCGTACCCACCGTACTTGTACTTGCACCTTTTGCGGTTGTGCCCATACTGTCGGCATCGCCCACACCGATAAGCGTGCGGCGGTGCCTCGAACCGGGCGTGATTCTCTGGCCTCCCAACCCTCGTCTCAATCAGCGCTGGTGCATCGCACTCGCCCACTTCTGCCAGTGGAGCCTCCATAATCAGCCGGTCCACACAGGTACCCATCACATCCCGGTTGTATGTCTGGCGAAGATTGCGAGTGGTGTAGTACTCAGACACAAGGATCTCCACACTCCGCTGCTTCAATATGCACATTGCCACGGCGTGGGCACAAGGGAACTGGTACTCCTCCCAGTTCCCGCACTCGCACGTCCGGGCATCGAGGTTCACGTTGAAGCTACGCCACTGGAACTCGTTTTCCCCCCCCCTGGTCTGGATGGTTCCAACAGAGTTGTCCCCACCGATGAACCAATACCCCTGGCACCTCTGCTTCTTTTGGTCCAGTCGTTTCGATGCGGCAGCCGTGAGATACTCATCCCTGCAGCGCGCCTTCTCCTTCCTCTCGTACCACTTGTCGCGAGACCAATCCCAAAGTGATGCCAGCAGCCATGTTGGTGGCAGCATTCGGATGCCGCGGACAGCGCTGTTGATGGACTCGGCGGCGTTGCTTGTGTAGATGCCAAAACGCAGTGTCACCGCAAAAAGACGGGCCCAGTGCAGCAGCATGATTCCCCCAATGCGATAAGATGATCCGCGCCTATTACGATAGAACCCGGTTCGGACATGTATTCCGGGTTCTCCCTCATCATCGGCCGCCTCATCCCCATCCTCCCTAGCATCCACTGGCACCGGATCATCCTCACTTGCTGGCTCGTCCGGCCCTTGCGCAGGAATGTTCTCCCGCTGCCCGCAGTCTGGCCATGGCAAAGCCAGAGCCGATGCTGGGTGGAAGTGCTCAGTAAACCCACCCATCTCTGATCCCTGAGTGCCCGTGGTCCTCCCCGTGTCAATGTCCTCTGCCCGGTACCACTCCCGGGCACGTCGCAGGACCGTGTTGACGTCAAATGCTCGTGCACCCGGGTTCCCCACAGTGGTGAGAGCGCCTATCCCATCACCCGTGGAGCATGATGCCAAACCATTATCACGCACAGATGCTGGAGCTCGCTGCACGTCGCCCCCAGAGGGCACTGGTGAGCCCCCCCTTCCAACGGACCCCACCCCACCCATGAAATTCGCGCCTAGGCCAACCCCAAACGTAACATCACCGCGTGGCCCGCTTTGGTGTCGCCTGGGTCCTGCAGTGTGAGGACTGGGCCAAGACCCTACCAATTCACCGCTCGCAGCATATACACTATGTCGTGCTCCAGGGCCGAACAACGGCTCCCCCCCATCCGCACTCCCGATGCCAGACCATCTTGCTCCGGCGCGTCCTCGCCCTCCAGAAGCATCACCAAGCGGGACTCCTCTCCCTACACCTCCAATGCCTGACCATCCTGCTCCGGCCCCCATCTGCCCTCCAGGAGGCCCACCAAGCGGGACTCCCCTCCCTCCACCTCCAATGCCGGACCATCCTGCTCCGGCACCCCCCTGCCCTCCAGGAGGCCCACCAAGCGGGACTCCCCTCCCTCCACCTCCAATGCCGGACCATCCTGCTCCGGCACCCCCCTGCCCTCCAGGAGCCCCACCAAGCGGGACTCCCCTCCCTCCACCTCCAATGCCGGACCATCCTGCTCCGGCACCCCCCTGCCCTCCAGGAGGCCCACCAAGCGGGACTCCCCTCCCTCCACCTCCAATGCCGGACCATCCTGCTCCGGCACCCACCTGCCCTCCAGGAGCCCCACCAAGCGGGACTCCCCTCCCTCCACCTCCAATGCCGGACCATCCTGCTCCGGCACCCCCCTGCCCTCCAGGAGCCCCACCAAGCGGGACTCCCCTCCCTCCACCTCCAATGCCGGACCATCCTGCTCCTGCACCCCCCTGCCCTCCAGGAGTCCCACCAAGCGGGACTCCCCTCCCTCCACCTCCAATGCCGGACCATCCTGCTCCTGCACCCCCCTGCCCTCCAGGAGCCCCACCAAGCGGGACTCCCCTCCCTCCACCTGCAATGCCGGACCATCCCGCGCCGGCATCCCCCTGCTCCCCGCCGGCCCCACCGAGCGGCACTTCCCGTACTCCACCACCAACCCCCGTGAAGTCTGATCCGCCACCCCCCTGCCCTCCGCAATCGGCCGCGGGGGGCACTCCTCTACCTCCCCTGCCAAGGCCCGCCCCTGCAACGCCACCGCCTCTCCCTCTGCGACCACGTCCAGATGAAGCTCGTCCTCGCCCTCCACGGCCGATGCCAAAAGCAGCCGCTCCGCCATCCCCTTCGTCTGGTATCCCTGAAGGGACTCCAATACCCTCGTGCGCTCTGGCCCGTCTTCCAGGTGCGTTCATCCCCCCCCTGCCAGCCAGACCGCCGCCACGCCTGTTGTACGCGGACGTGTTGCCCTCCGGGAACCCACTCCCTTCGGGTTGGGACGCGGTGTCGACGCCACCATTTCCCGCGTTGACACCACGCTCCTGCCCTCGCTGTGCCCTCCTCCCTTCGCGAGCATCCGCGAACACGAAATCCCTGGCCCCATCAAATGTTGCCCGGGCTCCAGGAGGGGGGACCTGAGGAGCCGGCTGGGGTTGTGGCTGTGGCTGCTGCCGGACAGGCCCGAACAGATATGCGGCCATGTCAGGAAAATCTCGTCGTGCGGCCCCGACAAGCGCAACCCATTTCGTTTCAGACCGACACTTCACCAACCGCCAGAAGAACGCTGTTGCCGCTTTGCCGAACCGCTTAAGGTTCTGCTCCAGATGCCAGGCACAGAAATAATGGGGGATGTGGCTTGGCATCACCTCCCTTGCTGCCGGCACCAACCCCTTATCGCGATCGCTGATGATGGAGGCATCGTCCCTACGCGCCCACTCCGGGAACCCCTCAAGGAACAACTTCAGAAACCAGGTCCACGCGTCCTTGTTCTCCGACTCCACCAAGGCCCATGCAAGTAACAAAATCTCCTGGTTCCCGTCAATGGTGACGGCGATGAGCAGCACAGCCTTCTGCGCACTAATGAGATGTGTACCGTCGAGCGCAACAACCGGGCGGCAATAATTTAACGCATGCCGTGCTGCAGAGGGACGCACGTAGAATCGGTGGAAACACCGATCTAATGTGTCCAACCGCACTTGAACTTCCGGATCGATGACTGTGAAACGAGTGAGAAGCCACGGAACCTGGCGAAAGGACTCCTTCCAATCTCCATATCGCTCCTTTAAGATGTACTCTCGAAGCCGCCAAGCCTGCCAGTAGTGGATCACTACCCTTCCGTGACCCTCGAGCATTCTTTTGAGCTCCACGGGTGAGATGAAAGGATTTGCACGGACCAAATTGCCGTATCGCCGAGCGAGGATGGGAATAGTGTTGGCTAACCCCTCGGCGTAACCCTGCCTCCAATGCAACGGACACGTATGCATCTCCGGAGAAACGAGTCGCGTAATACGCCATAAACCACCGTGGCCGATTTGCCCATATGTGCAGCTCCATAGGCACGCGGGTAACCATCCGTCCGATGAAGCCTTGCATCCAACCACTGCGTAGTTATGCTTCACTAAAAGGACTTTTACACCAAACCGATGCTCTAGAGCGTACGCATAAACGGCCTCCTTGCATTTATCACGGCTAGAGTACAGGCCCCCCAGCTCCAATGGCGCGTAATCATTAGGCCTGTCGTACCTAGGGTTGAACTCGGGAGCCGCATTAAGCTGTCGCAAGGCCTGCGCTAAGGGATTAGAGGCCATGCGCACGCGATAGACGCTACATGGTGACCAGTTTTGGCAGAGATAAGCTATGACTATTGAGTGGAGTACTAATGCGGGCCCGGATATGAGTTGCCTAAAGTAATGACTGCGTTGAGTGTCTACCCGGTATTGTAAAACGGGAGACTCGCCTAAGCTTCACAGGAACATGATGCTAACGGAAGGGTTCATGAACCGTTGAGGATCACGAATGCTTCGATCATGAAACCGTGAAGGCCAGAAATGACATGGCCAGATCCCGAAGGACACAGTACAATCAACCTGTATATAAGCCTCTCGAGTTATAATACATGGCCCAGAAAATTCCGAAATTTTGCTGGCACAAATGATGTGGCTTCCTGCACGCTCAATTACACGTGCCATGGGGTTGGTTGGTTGCTTTTCGTGACTGCTTGTGGCAATTCCGAAGTTCACGCGAGAGCATGCGGCTGCCCGAATGACGGTGGGGAAAGGGCGGGAAAAGGGGGCTGGGGGGGCGGGGGGAAGGGAGGTCGATCCAATTTAGAAAAACGCCCACGTGGCGAGCAGGGAGCAATTTAGGTCGACTCAATTGAGACAAACACGATTTTCGCCGACGCGGGCGATTTCGCCCGTGTAGTGTAATTGGATTATGTTTTCCAATCCAGTTGGTTTGTGCAGATAGCGAATCACATTCAGGAGTGAGGGGCTTGGGGAGGGGGAGGGGGTTGTGGGGGGGAGAACGAATGATTTGGGAGGGTGCGCGCGCCAAGTTCTGCAGGGGAAGAGCGCACCAGGCGGAGGCGGTGTAGAGGAACAGACGACGATCCAGAAGCGCTGGGGCGAATCAACGAGCATTCTTGCTAGGTTCTGTCACGTGACAAGCAGCTCCCAGATGGCCGTTGCCCTCCAGTTGATCCAGCGGGCAGCATGGCTCCTGACCGTAAACCCTCGTCATTGGTTGTCATCGGGAAAAGGTAAGCCGTGGCGTGATATTTCTGCGTCAGACAACCTCGTTGTGGATAGGGGCTCCGCTTTTCATGTGGTCCAGATTTGTTTTCGCGTCGGTTGTGGAATCGAGCGATGATGTGGCGTGGGTGGTGAAAACATCGCTCCACCGCCATCGTGTGAGGTCAGGAGTTGTTGTGGGGCTGGATCAGCGTTCTTTGAAGCTCGGACACCAGACAGTGTGTTTCCTCCTTAGAATAATTGTCCCGGAGGGTATTTTACCCAAACGACCCCACTTTCAAATGATACGGAAACGAGTCTCGCACCTCAGTACAACAGAATGGGACTCAAATTCTTACTACACTCCAACATAGTGCAGAAGATTCTAAAACCCATACTTCCGAAACTATAATCTTCACAACATGTCTAGACTTCTATTGTGGGTAATACAAGAACGCCATCGAATTTCCAAGGCCCTGCACTGCCAGCAAAGCACCAACAGAACAATCCATACAGTGGCATCAATATATGTTGTTCCGCAGCGGCCCAATGCAGCCATCAGCATACCCAAATCTTGCGGATTCGTAGGTATTGGTTCCAGGGGGCTGTGCCCTGGGTAAGTGCGTGTACAAAATGCCTGCTCTTAAAAAAAGGATGTAACGGGCTCTTTGGAGTACCTTTTTGGTCGGGTGCTTGAAGGATAACTACCTGTCAATTGCACAAGTATCAGCCCCAAATCAGCGAGCCGAAGCCACGGATTGTTTTCCGCGATATTTGCTCCTCTCCCGAAAAAGCGTCAAACTTTCCGAACTGCCTTCTGCTGGAAAAAGGTCCCAGCCTGAAGATATTTCCGGTCAGAATGCGTGACTGGTTTCTGGCGTTCCCCATCTTTGTGATGATCCCCGTGAGCCGTTGCTTGTTGGCTTGGCAGCATAGCAGAATCGCTCGCAGGTCGGGTCGGGGACTTGGGAATCGCGGGACACTCTGATCAGCCCAGGAGGACCACTGGGCAAGTGAAGGGTTTCTCATGGCTGCTGCTCAGCTTTGGTGTTGTTTTGCTCCAACTGAATGGCTCCAGCTTGAAACCAACCTCCACAAAGATGCGCCGTGCAGAGAAAGATATGGAGAGTTGAGAGGATTGCAAGCCACCAAGGTCACATTATAGAAGCTCAATCCGCAAAACGAGACCCCAGCTCAGGCAGCTCACTGCGTAATGAGAGATCAGAAGCTAATATACTACCGATGTCTGCTGATCCGATTGATCGTAATCGTTTACCTTCATTTCATAGCCGTTCAGTGGTGTTTTCTGCTGGTTTGTGAAGATTCTACGATAGTGACAGTTCTTCATCGTTAACTCTTGCGCACCAACCGTTCCCTGCATCCATACGAAGTCCTTAACTCACCACGGTGCTCCTAAACACAATTAGACATGCTAGATTCTTCAGGTCGGCCGCTGCCGCTGCAGCAACAGCAGCAGCCGCAGCAGCAGCCTCAACCACAGCAACCGTCGCAGCAGCAGCGTCCATGTGACGTGGCGACGTTTCAGCGGAGCAGCGTCCACATATTGTTGTCGGATAAGGACAGCGACTCGCGAAGCAGCGTGTTGGAGCTGCTCCGGAGCTGTTCATACCAAGGCAAGCGACCTACACAAAGTCGTGTTTTTTTGTGACCAGGAGGGTGTTGAAAGAAGTCAATCAGTCCGCCATTGCACTTTCCGAGCGTGTTGAAAGGTGTCGCTGACATGTTGAACACCAGCGGCTCCAATGTCGCTGACACCTTTCAACACCCACCTGACAAGTTCTTTGTTCCTCTTTCATGCCGTGTCTTTCGTAGCCGTTAATTACCTTCCTCCTCCCTCCGCGCCTTTTTTTTTTCACGCTGGCTCTCTTCCTCCTGACTCCCAATCCTGCCGACATTCCTGCAGTGACGGCTGTGGAGAATGCTCGATCAGCGCTGCAGCTGCTTCGGTCCGGCACGGCGGCGATCGACCTGATTCTCGCGGAGGTGGAGCTGCCCAACGGCAAGGGCATGAAGATGCTCAAGCTCATCGCGCGTGAAGAGCGCCTTCGGAAGATTCCGATAGTCAGTGAGTGCATGGCTGCCGCATTATGGCTGTCGTTAATTATCTCTCAAACAAACGAAATTGTATGCGTCGGTCCTGTAGCTATCTTTTTCGATGCTTTCTTGAAAAAATCCCTGCTGCAGGCATTGTCTTTTGTCTTCGCGAGTACTTTTTTCGTAATTCCGTGGACTTCTTCCTCATGCTGTGCCATTTTGTGCCAATATCCGCGCTATCTTTCGCGCTCTTTTATATCCCTGCGTGCCCTATCAGTGATGTCGGCGCGCGACGAGATGGCCATCGTCGTGCGCTGTCTGCGTCTCGGCGCGGCGGATTTCCTCGTGAAGCCATTGCGGACGAACGAGCTCCTCAACCTCTGGACGCACATGTGGCGCCGCCGCCGATCCGTGAGTGATGCTTTTGAGTCGACGCACATGTGGCTACTACTTTCGCGTTTCATTCCGTATCACCGGAACTCGCTTTCCCTACGCGTTTGGTTCCAAACGTCCTTACAGCAAGAAACGTGCCGAGTGTTTATCGCAATACCGCCCTCTTGTTCAGTTCAACGTGTTCCCCTTCCCTGCGATGTTCGCAAAATGACATGTGTGGCGCTCATGGTTCCCTTCTCGTCAAGCAGGCGTCTTGCAAGGTGCGCACCAACGCTGCCGCCTGTGCTTCACACATGCTGTTGAAACAGCCCATTTGCACCTCTTTTGTGCTTCACACATGCTGTTGAAACAGCCCATTTGCACCTCTTTTGTGCTTCACACATGCTGTTGAAACAGCCCATTTGCACCTCTTTTGTGCTTCACACATGCTGTTGAAACAGCCCATTTGCACCTCTTTTGTGCTTCTCACATGCTGTTGAAACAGCCCATTTGCACCTCTTTTGTGCTTCTCACATGCTGTTGAAACAGCCCATTTGCACCTCTTTTGTGCTTCTCACTCGAAGCACCCTAACTCCATCCGTGCAACTCCTCACCATTTTCCTCATCTCTCCCTATCGTTATCGCCCATGGGCACCTCATGCGCGTTCGTGCGTGCAATGGCACTCCCCGTCGCTAACCACTCGCACCTGTGTTGTTTCTCTTGCAGTTCGGCCTGACGGAGCGACCGCAGAACCTGGTGCCTGTGAGCATGAACGACCTGCCACACGACTTCGTGTTCATCGATACCAGCGAGTCCAACACCGGTACAGGCAGCACGGACTTGTTTTCCGATGAGACGGACGAGATTCGCCGCAGCAGCACGCAGCAGCTCCAGCACCAGCAGCTGCAGCTGCAGCTGCAGGAGCAGCAGGAGCAGCAGCAGCAGCTTCAGGAACTGGAGCAGCAGCAGCAGATGCTGTTGGTGCAGCAGCAGGAGCAGTTGCAGCAGTGGCGGCAGGTGCAGCAGGAGGAGGATGTGGAGCAGTGGAGGCAGGAGCAGGAGCAGATGCTGCGGCAGGAGCATCGACAACAGGAGCTTTTGTTGCAGAAGCAGCAGGAAAAACAGAAGCAGCCGTCGCATCAACAACAGCACGACCAACAGCAGCAGCAGCAGAATCAAGAGGGGCAGAAAGAAGTTCAGCGACAACAGCAGCAACAGCAGGAACATCATGTGCAGGCGCAGCAAGAGCAGGAACAGAAGCTAGCGGTTGAACAGAGCGGGCAGGTGCGGAAGGGGGAAAGGAACCCGGTTGTCAGAGGGAAGGTAGCAGCAGTGGCAGCAGTCGACAATGAGCCAGGCGGGCAGGGTAATAGCCGCAGTGACGCACAGGCGAAGCAGGGGGGTGGTATTGCGCGCAGAGAGCAAGTGGTGCGCGCACAGAAAAGTGGGAAAGAGAAGGGTGAGGAGGTGCGGAGAGAGTTGAAGAGGGGAGGCGAAGGGGAGGCGAAGGCGAATGGGGAAGGGAGAAAGGCGGTGAGAGAAGCATGTGACGCGGTTGCCTCGAGGCGCGTGTGCGTGGATGATGCAGTTGGGAGCAGTGGAGTGAAGCAGGCAGGCAATGTTGGGCGAGAGGAAAATGAGACTGTGAAGGGTGCGGCACACGAGGCACAGCAGCTGGGGAACGATGAAGAGAGCCGGGGGAGGATGGGAGGAGGACATGCAATGGATGAGGAGAGTGACGATGGCGCTGCTGCTACTCTTGCTGGCGCTGCTACAGCCGCCGCTGCGTCTGCGGATGCTGATGCTGCTGCTGTTGGTGGGTTTAGCAATCGCGAGGTGGAGGGAAGAATGGGCGACCAGAATGAAGGGATACAAAGCTGTGACGAGAATGCAAGGGCTCGGCAGGTGAGCTTATATTCCATATGTGGGGTCGTAATGAGTGAGCTTTCTTGGCTATCATATCGAGACTCATATATTCCTCCCACTGCTGCTCGTTGTTGCCCTCTGCTGGCTGTGACTGATGCACTGGTGCCGTATCTCTTTTACCTCTGCTCATTCGGAAAACGTTTCCCACTTTTCCACCATCTGTCTGACAATCAATCTCTCCGGTTTCTCCTCTCCTGCCTCTCCCCTTGGATCATCCCTGCAGCCATCACCGCACCTGGAACTCTCTCTTATGCCGCCTCTCACTCGCCGACTGCTCCCTCCTCCATTCCTCCCTCCTCCTCCTCCTCCTCCTCCTCCTCCTCCTCCTCCTCCTCCTCCTCCCACACCTCCTGCACTTAACACCTCAGCAGCGCTCGCCGCCTCTACTTCCTTCAACCCATCCCTGCTTGGCTGCTCTCCCTTCACTGGCACTCCACTGCTCTCATCCGCAGCGCCAGTCAACGCCTTGCTGGGTCCATCCGCGCCTTCTCTCAATGCCTCATTGCTTGCTTGCTCCATAGACCTGAGCACCCTCGCTGCTACCACCACGCCACCAGGTAAGCCGCTCTCCGCACCGCACCGGGCAAGCCAGAGTTCTCCACGCACCGGTTTCAAGTTGAAACTTTCAACATCACTTCCCCTTGAATAAAGCGGATCTTTCCTTTCCTGGTGACCCTTCAGTTGTACATTGGGCATGTCCTTTCCAATTTCCATTTCGTTCCTTTTCTTGTCACTTTCTCGTCCTGTCAATGCACTGCCGTGTTCAGGTCCTTCTGCGGCTGTTGGGGAGTTGCCAGCTGCACGCCTTGCTCTCTCTGCCTCCACCGCTGCTCACTCATCCGCGGCCCATGCTGCTCTGCCCGAGCTAACAACAGCACCAGCAGCAGCAGCAGCAGTAGAAAATTGCACAGCAGCAGGAGGCGTGAGGTCGCTGCTGCCTGCTCTGGTATCCACCAGCACGCTTGCACTCTCTGCAGCACCAGCACCAACCGCTGCAGCACCAACCACCGCAGCACCGACCACTGCAGCACCCATGCCGCTGGGGAGCACTCTTCCCACAGGCCTCGCCCTGAGTGCACCTCTCGTGCGTCCACAGCCCCTGCATGTGACACCACATGACAAGGGCCCCACTCAAGACAAGTCCTTGCTACTTCTCACCGCTCCTCCCCTGCCGTCCATTCCCCCTGCCCCTGGTCTGCCATGGCTTCTCGGCTCGATTCCAGGATCCAGGGGTCCCAGAACTCCTCTGCTCCCCCCCACGTTCCTTCCCCCACTGCCGGCAAGTGTTGCCCCTTATGATACTGCTGCCTGTGCTCCTGCCGCAACTATTGCCCCGGCCACTGGCGCTGCTGCTGGCGCTGTTGACGGTACCGCCACTTGTGCTGGTGTGCATGCCCTTGCTCCTGCTGGCGTAAGAGCTGGTGATTTCGTGCTGGTGCCTGATGCCAGCATAACCAAGGCGCCTGGTGATGCTGCTACCGATTCTGCCACTGGTGGTGCTACTGGTTCTGGTGCTGCAGGTGCTGTTGGCTGTGCTGGTGGCCCAAATGCTACTGATGCTGCTGCTTCTGCTGCCGTTGCTGTTGCTGCTGCTGCTGGCACCCGAGCGGCTCTCTTCAAGCAGGGGTTTTTCAGTGCGCTCCTCACTGCACCAGATGCTCCTCTGCAGAGCTCCTCAAGTCGCAGGAACGACGTGGGGTGTGGTGCAGGGCGAGGCGGTGCAGGGCAAGGCGGTGGAGGACGAGGAGGGAAAGAGAGAGCGGATCCAGAATATGAGGAGGCAGAGGCGGACGGAGAGGGTAAGGCAGAAGGAGGGCGCAGAGCAGGAGAGAAGGTGAGGAGGCAGGTGGAAGGATCGGGGGAGACAGGCAGGGAGGGCGAGGTGGGTTCAGGAGCAGCAGTAGCACCCACAGCAGCAGCATCAACTGTACCAGCAGCAGTACCAGCATCAGGAGCAGGTGCAGGCGCAGTAGCAAGAGCAGTAGAGCTCCCGGCTTCAATCCCCCTGCACTCACTGCACAAACCGCCTACGCCAGGGGGGGAGGTGAGAGGCGTGGCAGGCAGAGAGTCCACCAAAGCACCTGCCACAGCGCGAGGGAAAGACAGCTCCCCTGCAGGCGCATCTGGGGGAGGCGGTGCGCCAGGCAGCGGGGGAAGCAGAACTGGGGGCGGAAGGGGGCCAAGTCTAGGAGGAACGGGGCGAGGCGAGGTGACTCAGCAGCTGCAGGCGCTGCAGGCACAGGACATGTGTGGCAATGGCTGTGGCAGCAGCAGCCGGGCTACCGACTACTCTCCGTACAACAACCCTGTAGTACCGGTGCAGGCAGGCACCCTTGCCAGTGCTGGCAGCAGCATGACTGGAGGACAGCTGGCGTCGTCCAATTGGTGGGGCAGCACCGGCTCCGGCACAGGCATGGGCACAGGCATGGGCATGGGGACAGGCATGGGCATGGGAACAGGCACGGGGCCTGCTTGGGACAGCAGCTCGGTGTTTGCTGGCGCTGGTCCCTCCAGCACCACGCCTGGCGTTGATGGCTTCACCGCTGCTGCGGCTGCTGCAGCTGCTGCTATGGCAGCTGCTGCTGCTGCCACTGCAGCTCCGTCCTCCTCCCACCCATTCGCAGGGCTCCTTCCGAACCAGCCTGCCGGCCCTCATCCTTTCCCCTCCCACTCCTTCTCCCACCCTCTGCAATTCCTCAACTTCCACCCCTCTCACACTCTCAACCAGGACTTGCAATCACCTCCTGACTCCCTGAATCCCCCATCCTCCTCGCTCATCCCCTTCCCGTGCACGCTCCCTCCATTCGCCAGTCACATGCAGAATCAGCAGCAGATGCTGTCTCAGGGCCAGCAGCAGAACCTGCCACCGCCGTTCCAGCACCTGCCACCACACATAGCAGCCGCTGCTGCTGCTGCCGCAGCTGCAGCAGCGGCCTCTGGGCTTCCCCCTCAGCACCCACTAACTCAATCCCTTGCTGCCGCTGCCGCTGCCGCTGCCGCCCTGCCGGGAAACCAGCTGACACAGACCCCTCACTTCAACCACCCGCAGCATCACTCCCACCCGTTTTTTGCCGCTGCGGCTGCAGCAGCAGCAGCCTTCCCTCACCTCCCTCCAGAAGCAGCAGCAGCAGCTGCGGCTGCAGCAGCTACTGCCAACCTGCACATGTCAACAACCGGCATGTCGACCCTTCCTCTTCCCACTCCTCCGTCAACCCATTCTATGTTCTCGCATGACCTGCAAGGGACTGGCAGTGCAGGACCCCTACCCCCAACCTCCACAGCAGCAATCGCCTCGGTTCAAGCCATGCCCATCCTTCCTCACAACCCCTTCTCCTTATTCTCTGCAATCTCTCCTCCCCAGCCGTCCCTTGCTGGGCCGGGGGTTCTGCACTCTGCCACACAGCCTGGACACCTTGCTGACATGGCGGCGGGTGTATCCTTGCTGGGAGCGGGTGGGGGAGGGGATGGGGGGACAGGGGGTTACCCCTGGCCGGGGCAGGGAGGAGGGTTGCATTTCTCTGCAGCGTCAATGGCTGCGGCAGCAGCGGCTGCTGCTGCAACAGCTGCATCAGGAGGTGGTATGGGAGGGTGTGGTGGAGGAGAAGCAGGTGGGGGAAATGTGGGAGGTGGTGTTGGTCCAGGGGGAGGGGGGGTGCAGATGGAGAGGAGGGTTGAGATGTATGATAGGAGGGAGGCAGCGCTGAGCAAGTTCAGGCAAAAGCGTAAGGATAGATGTTTTGAAAAGAAAATTCGGTATGTGAGCCGGAAGAGGCTCGCTGAAATGAGGCCGAGAGTGAAAGGGCAGTTTGTGAGGCAAACTGGTGGTGGGGCATGTACGTCAGGGATGGGGAGGGATGAGGAAATGGAAGAAGATGAGGAGGAAGAGGATGATGGAGATGGTGGTTACTAGCAAAAACTGAGGTGCGCCACGAATGATTTGTCTGACTACAATTAGATTTTTGCGGCCTGACAACATGGTCATCAGCACAAATTGATTTATTCGTTTTTGACTTGCAAACAAACATGGTTATCAGTAAATCTGTGTTTTATCCATGTGGTACTTTCTATAATATGGGATGTGTAACATTGTCTGTCTGTCCACTTTGTGAGTATTGGCTGATTGGCCCACGCGTTCGCCGTGTATACCTCGCGAGCCAACTTTCTTTGACGCAACGAGTGGGTGCGGTTTCGCCTGGGCCTTCGCATCTGCCTCAAGTTCGCGGTCTCTTTCGCGACCACGTCATCGCTTCGCTGGTCCCATCTGCCCTCGTGGTCGCACGTGCCTATGCTGCCTTTTCGCACCAAGCGAAGATGTCTACTCCCCTGCAATTGGTTGAGCCCCTTCTCATCCTCGTTTGCGTGCCGCTCGGTATAGCAGACCTCGGGCCTACCTGCGTGCTGATTGGTTTGGGCCACAGAACTACGGAGAGGCCACCCTCCTAGGAGTCTCCTTGTGGCAATTTCAAGGTGGAGATTTCGCTGCTTGTCCGCCTCCCACCCATTCACTCCCTTATGTTCGTAGGTACTTCTGCCTCCATTCCCTACCCAAAGTCTCCATTTCTTGTTTGCCTTGAGTGGGAGCATATCATTCCTCAAGAGTCTGACATTCGGCAGAGGAGGACCTGCTTGCTCTCCGAGTCCTCTTAGAGCTACCGCAATTCTGATGACAAGCGTGTCCGAAGTAATATTTTCATCCCACAACGACAAGAGCACGAAGCACTAGCAGGAGTAAATTGAGTGAACTCCCGGAGAGCTAGAAAGCTGGGACGTGCTCAAGCGTCCTATCGGCATTAGTTCAGTAATTTCAACGGTCGGAATCGGTTCAGGCCACAATCGCCGGGACGTAATCGCCTCTCTGGAGACCAGGGCTTCCCCCCCTTCTTGCCATGGCTCTCTCACTGTCGGATATACCCCTCGCTGCTCGGGCGACAGGAGCCGCCATTACAGATTCAGTAACGCTCGGTCACGCGTCTCGCGTCGACATTCGCCTCGATGCCGCGTCGCTCTCTCTCACCCCGGCCGCGAGACGCCTTCGTTGCTCTCGGCTCTCCGCAAGTCAAGCCTCGCTCCGTTTTAAGCCTCTCCGTCACGCGAACGGTAGCAATGCTCGCGCGGAGACCACTTCTGTCAACTCCACCGCTGCTGCTCACTCCGTCGATAACTCTTTATCAACAGCTCTTTCCGAAATTCAGCTTCCGTCATCGTCTTCCGTGCCGCCATCTGCATTTGAAAGCGAAAACAAAGGAGGTGCGAGGAAGAACAGGCGAAAGGGTAGAAGGAGAGCCGTCGACGAAACTCTTCAGAATGAGAAAAGCTGTATTCAGGAAGGCGTCAGGCCGGCGAATCTGAGCCCTTCTGAAACGTCGGACGCGGCGTTCGTCGCGGCTCTCACGTCCCTAGCAGCTACTCCAGAGAACGGGCGGAGGAAAACGCAGGAACGCGAGCAGGGGGACGATGCGCATACCAGCAGCTCCGATGCCAATCTAGCAGCACTTCTCGGAAATGATTCAGCGTGGAAAACCGGGCTGACTGGAGGCGATGTGTCCCCCGAGTCTGGTTCGTCGTCACGGTTCGGCGCCCATGCCAGTGACTCTGGTTCGGCTGGTGCAGCTGACGTGGCCGGCGCGGGGAAGGCGCAGCAGATCGCGGGTGATCCGTACGGGAAGAGGGTGCTGGGGCGGGCCGTCGTGCAGTGGATGGCGCGCGGGATTGCGCGGATGGCGCAGGACGTGGCGGAGCGGGAGGCGCGCGGAGAGGAGGGGTTGGAGGGGGTGGCTGCTGGCGGAAGCATGGCGGTGCTGGCGCTGGCGCAGGATCACCTGCAGAGGTGAGCGATGCCGTTGGGTTGATTTAACTACCACAGATAAGTGTGCGTGATTCTTCCCCTTGATGCCTTCTATCTATAGTTGGCGTACTCATTAGGGATAGTCGTGTGTCATCGTTGCGTCTCCTCCATTATTCACCGCCCTTCTCCCTTTCGTCTGTCTTCCTCTCGAGCAGAGAGCCGATGCCAGATGGCGAGCAGCCGCGGTGCCACGTGGCGATGAATCACTACCCCACGGTACTGGACCATCTTCAGCGGGAGCTTCAGGCGGAGCTCAAGAGACGACATGCACAGCAGGCGGGTACGGGGGAGCAGCAGGTCAAGGCTGTTGTGAAAGCATGGAATGAGAGCGCTTCGTGGAACGTTCTGAAACAGCTCATGAAATCTGGCCAACACCGGGCTACCATCCGCCAGCCAATCAGCACTCTCGCCGCTTCAGCTACCGCCTCCCAGAAGCGCCAGACAAACCTCGCCGCCCTCCTCTCCCCCTCCGCACTGCAAGCCGCCCAGCAGCGAATCAACGCCTACGTGGCAACGGCCGCGGAGCTCCTCCAAATGGAGCGAGACGCTGAGCTGGACGCAGTCGCTGCTGAGGTCAGCAACACCCAGTTAACAACTGCCTCCAGTCGTCCAGAGACTGAAGCCATCAGCGAGGGTGCCAAAGAGAGGAGGAGGCGCAAGGAGCGAGGGGAGGTGGAGAGAGGGCTGGCGAGAGAGGGGGGCACTCTGACGGACTTAGTCGCTGTGGGAACGTCTACTGGGCTGGCCGGCGTGCATCTCATCACCCTCGCTTCCCCCAGCTCGGGTCTCCTTTCCGCCTCTACCCTCTCCCCGGGCGACGCCATCTGTCTCTCCCCTGATTGGTCCAAATGCAGCCGCATCGGCAGTGGGAGCAAGGCTGGTGCGCGTGCTGCTGCAGCAGCGGCGGCTGCTGTGTGCCACCGAGGGTATGTGCACGAGATGGGGGAAGATGGGCAGAGCCTCGTGGTTGCACTGGACGGGAAGCTTGGCGTGGGCAGCAGCGGCACACGCAGTGGAGCGGGCACAAGTGGGTCGGAGAGTGAAGGGGAGGGCGGCAGCAGCAGCGGCGGGAGAGGGGCGTTCTCACCGCTGTATTTGCAGGAGCTCTTTGGCGTGGCGCTCAGAGTGCAGCGCATGTCAGGACTCGTGGACTTCACAACGTTCGAGGTGAGTCTCTTTCTTGAGGTGCCTCAAGAGCTGAGAGCCTAGTATGCACTGCTGCCACTCTCAAGACTGCCAGCATTATCAGCTCCTAGCGTCGACCTCACAAGCCCCTCATCCGCTTCATGCTCTTCTTTTTTCCTTTCCGTTGCACATCTTCCCCCCCTCATGTCTCTGTCCCCCTCGTCTCGAATGCCCCCCGCCCCGCCCATCCTCCCGCCCACTCCCCATCCCCACCTGGCAGCGCAATTGCGAGGCACTGGAGCGACTCAAAACGTTCGCGCTCAAGCCCAAGAGCCCTGCTCGCGCCGTCGCTGCTGCCCTCTTCGCTCTCCCCCTTGCTGCTGCCCCTGCAACAGCTATACCACCAACATCCCCTGAAGCATCTGGAAATGCAGCCAGCACCGTCTCACCATCGCTATCCTCGTCCCCCCTGCCCTCCTCACCCTTCTCATCCTCCTCATCCTCCTCCCTGACCTCAGCATCCGCCTCTCCCTCCTCTCCTCAACCCTCCACCCTCTCGTTCGACCCCAGTCAGCTGGCAGCCATTCATCTCGCCCTGGACCCTGCCCGCCCTGTGGTGGCCATTCAGGGCCCCCCAGGCACCGGCAAGACGTCCGTTGTCACGGAGATTATTGCCCGGGCAGTCAGAGAGGGGCGCAGAAGGGAGAGGGATGAGGAGGAAAAGAGGCAGGAGGAGGAGGAGGACGAGGAGGAGGAGGAGGGGGAGGGGGAGGTGGAAGGTGGGCGGGGGATGGACACTGGAAAGCAAGCACCAGGTGATGCAAGGACGAAGCAGCTGCGAACAAAGAAGCACCGGGTGCTGGTGTCAGCGCCCACCAACGCGGCAGTGGACGTGCTCGTGGAGCGCCTAGCCTCCCAGGGCCTGGCAGTCGCTCGGGTAGGCAACCCCATGCGCCTCTCCCCTACCGTCACGCCCTACTCCCTGGACCACCTTGTGGCCGCCCGCCTGCGCTCCTTCCACCAAGACGTTGCCCGGCGCCGCCGCGACCTCAGGTCGGATCTCCGCGCTGTCGGCTCCGACTCCGCCCTGCGCTCCGCGCTCCAGAAGATGCTGCGGCGCCTGGCGCGCGTGGAGAAGCAGCGGGAGAAGGAGGAGGTCGCGCAGGTGCTGGGGGAGGCCGAGGTGATTCTCTGCACCACCACGGGGGCCGGGGAGAAAGTGGTGCAGGACATGGCGAGGCAGGAGGGCGGGTTCGACCTGGTGGTCCTAGATGAGGCAGGGCAGGCAACGGAGCCGTCTAGCTGGATACCCTTACTGCTGGGGCGACGAGCTGTGGTGGCTGGGGATCCGTGGCAGTTGGCGCCTACAGTGCAGTCTGTGGAAGCCCAGCAGCGGGGGCTGGGGGTTTCGCTCATGGAGAGGATTCAGGAGGAGGGGCTGCTGGGGAGTGGTGGGGGAGAGGGGACGGTGGAGAACGGTGGGGAGCGGTGCGGTGGCAGTGTTGCTATGCTGCGAGTGCAGTACCGCATGCACCGAGCCATCTCGGACTGGAGCTCTGAGGAGATGTACCACGGGCAGCTCATGGCCTCGCCTGCTGTTGCCAACCGCACCTTGGCTGACATTACACTGCCTTCTCCTCCTGGCCCCCACTCCTCCTCATCATCATTCCCCCAGTCCTCCTCCCACTCCCTCCCCCCTCTCCTAGCCCATCCAATGCTTCTGATCGACACGCGCTCCCCCCGTGGTCTGCTGCACGAGCACTGCGAGGAGGCGCCTGATGCAGCAGGCACGGGGTCGCTGGTCAACGAGGGCGAGGCCGACTTGGTCGTGGATCACGTCGCTCGTCTTATCTCAGCCGGCGTGCCACCCGGGTCCATTGCTGTGCAGTCGCCGTACCTCGCCCAGGTGCAACTCATCCGCCAGCGCCTCGAGGAGCGCCTGGGCGGCATCGTTTGGCCGCACGCTGTGGCTCGGGAGGCCGGGGAGGGAGAGGGAGGAGGAGGAGGGGGTGCTGGGGAATGGGATGTGGGGGCGGTGGAGGTGGCTAGTGTGGATAGCTTTCAGGGGAGGGAGGCAGACGCTGTCATTATCTCCATGGTGAGTCGTCTTCCTCTGCAGGCAAGCATGTTTTTCTGGTGTGAGAAAGTGATGGGGTCATGCTGATGCCAAACATGTGAGTCTGTCTGGGTCAGATGCAACAGGTTAAAGTGCTGCTGGGAAATGGACTCTGCATTGTCTCACACCGCTTTCTCTCCTCCCTCGGCAATTAACCCTTGCAGGTTCGGTCCAACCCATATGGTTCAGTCGGGTTCCTCGGGGACCGTCGCAGAATGAATGTAGCGGTGACACGCGGCAGGCGCCACGTGGCCGTTGTTGCTGACTCAGCAACGGTCGGTCACAACTCGTTCCTCCGCCGCCTGCTCCTCCACATCCGCTCAGTGGGAAGAGTGGCTGGGGCCCACGAGCTGGATTTTGTCGATTCTACACCTGTCACATCAGCGTCATCATCCACGACAGCGGGGGAAGTGTATGTACCGCGTACATTCTCCCCACCATCTCTGGCAGCATCATTTGAACCAGTGTACTCATCTGGACGTGCACTGAGTCAATCCCTCTCAGCTGTGGCTGTTGCAGCATCGCCTACTAGCTTGCCAGAGGGTTACAGTGGGGCCTTGTCAGCTCCTCCCAAATCTGGAGCATCTACCAACCCAAGCTCCATGGTTAAATCACGAGCTGGGCCCTTGGGCCCTCGAGTGGTGGCTCGTCTCAGGAAGGGATGATTTGAGATTGAATACCAATGAATGGGCTGATTCATAAATATGTAAATCGCTGTTGCTTTCTTGTACGGTACTGCCTTTATTGAATTCATACCCCTTATAAAGCAGAACGAATCATACTTCCTAAGTCATTCAGATTGCCACACTTTCCCACACGCCGCAAGCTTGTTGCCTGTGTTTCTGCGAATCAGATGTCCTCACTGTAGCATGTACAGTGCTGTACTGCTCTGTCAATAAGATGCTCTGACCGACGCAAAAGTCTCACCACCACACCCCACTCCCCGTTTCGTCTCTCCCAGCACAACGGTATCTCCTCCTCGAAGCCTACGCATGGGTGTGGCGAATTCTGCCCTGCGCTGCGTTCTCGTTCCCTTGGTGGGTGGGTTGGTGATTCGAGCTGCGTGCCGAACTTCGGTGGCTGAAGCCACGCTGAGAAGGCCTTGGGATTTCACTGAACTGTCCGACTCCCTCCAAACCCGACATCTGCTGCATCCGCTTAGTGGAAGTGCACATCATAGCCTCGAGTTTCACCAAGTTGGCTTCTCTAGCTATTGGTAGCCGAGTTAGTTCCACAATGTTCTAGGTTTTGATTCTGTTGTCAGGTGGTCATCGTATGCCCAGCCGCTCGTGACATTTCCACACGGTAACAAGCAGTTTCTTCGATGGTACTGGGTTATGCCACACGTCTTTAGTAGCGTCTCACCTCATTCCGCTCAATCGCCTTACTTCGTTGTTCCTTCGCACGCCTCGCTTCCGCCTCGTTAAGAATGTATCTCTCGCTTTGTCGCCATACATTGTGACAAACTGTCCATTGATTTGGATGACGAATTAATTCCTGTAACCTTGAAAATACCGACGCAACAACATAATGCCGACGAGGCTCGACCTCCCGGGCAGCAGCATTGACGAGCCCCCACAACGTCCGTGGGTCGAAGTTTTGGCTGGAAGGAAGATTCGTCGCGTTATGGGCGACCCCGTTAAACTCGACGCGTTCCTGTCCGGCGAGTTCGACCGGCTGGACGTGCACGCACGTGGCAGGCTCTCATTGGCTGAGATTGAACCGGCGCTGCTGCGCTTGGCGGAGATCCAGGGGCTCATTCTCCGTCCCTTCTGGGACAGCCGCATGGGGGGGCGCGGAGGGGGAAGCGGCGGAGGGGGCGCAGGCGCGGGGGAGAGGCAGAGAGGCGGAAGCCGAGGGGGAAGCGGAGGAAGAGGAAGCTGGGGTAGCAGCGGCGATTGCGGGGGAGGAAGAAGCGGGGCCGGAGAGGGAGGGAGGGAGGTGTTACCTGGCAAGGGGAAGAACGATGAGGATTTGGCCAAGGGGCTTTTTGTCTCTTTCATGTCTGCTGACCTCAGCAGCGAGATTGGGCGGCACAAGTTTGTCAGTGTCTGCAGAGATGTGATTCTCGCATCCCAAGATGCAGTCGAAGGTACGTGCACTCTTATCCCTTCTCCACGTTCCAACTTTCTCTCTTTCCGCCTTCCCCCCCTTGGTTTCTCCACCTTCCGCTGCGCGCCTTCCCCGCCCCTCGCTGCATTGCTCTGGGTTCCCAGACGGTCCATCACGCTAGTTGCTTCAGGAGAGTGCGTTGAGGGTCTCTCCTGCAGGGGGTTTTTGAGAATTCTAAAACAACATTCCAGAGGGTCCATCACGCTAGTTGTTGCAGGAGAGCAGTGCGTGCAGGGACACTCTCCTGCATCCGCTGGGGCGTGTGTTACGGATGCTACGAGGGCGAGGGAGGTCCGTTTTTGAAACGTCTCAGAAAAAACATCAGTGCTGGCAGGAGAGCAGTGCGTGCAGGGACAGTCCCCCGCGTCCACTGGGGCGTGTGTTACGGATTCTATGAGGGCGAGGGAGGTCCGCTTACACACGCCCCTGCTCCCCATTCTTCTGCACCCCCCTACCTTCCCTACCCTCCCCCCCCCCCCCCCCCCCCCCCCCCCGCCTCCGCCTCGCCTGCGGCCCTTCTCTCCCTACCCCGCCTATTGCAGAGCAGCAGCGCGCTGAGGGAGCTGTTAGCGGACGCGGACGAGGTGGGCTCGTTCATAAACACGCCGTGGACTCATTTCACCGCATTTCCATCCACTGCACTCCTCCTAACCGCCCTGCCTCCACTGTCCCCCCCATCCTGCGAGCAGAGGTTTCCCTGCCGCGGCTGCTGAAGCGCAGCATCGCGCTGAGTGAACTATTTAACAACGCGGACGAGGTTGACGCGTTTATAGATGCGCTGTGGACTCACCTTACAGCACTCCCTCTACCCCCCCCTGCCTGCACCCCTTTTCCGCCCGCAGAGGATCCTCTACCGCGGCTACTGGAGGGTAGCACCGCGCTGAGGGAACTATTTAACGACGCGGACGAGGTGGACGAGTTTATAGACGCGCTGTGGACGCGCATGGACCTGGATGGTGACGGCACCGTGACCATGCACGAGATTCGCCCCATGCTGCCTGCGCTTGGGCTCTTTCCCCAACCCCTGCCCATCTCCACCGGTGGGTTGCCCCTGCGCAGATGTGTGCGTTGGCGTGGTGGGAGAGGGGAAGGGGGAGGGGAGAACGGAAATTTTGTGTGTGTGTGTGTGTGTGTGTGTGTGTGTGTGTGTGTGTGTGTGTGTGTGTGCGTGTGTGTGTGTGTGTGTGTGTGTGTGGTGGCGTGGTGGGAGGCGAAGTGGATTGGGGAAGGAGCACGGGGGTGTGGGGACCATGGGAGCTGGGAGGGAGAAAGGGTGTGTAGGGGGATTGCACACACCAATGGCGCCAATGACCATGCGCGACGTGTCTCACTGTTCTTTCTTCTTCGCCCCCCCCCCCCCCCCTCTCATGCTCCTTCCTCCCCCCACCCCGCCTGCCCGTGCCAGAGCAGGAGGATGAGATCCTGGCAGAGCTGCTGCAGACACACGCTGGATGGGGAGGGGGGCTGTTTCTTTCGCCTCATCCTTCTCACCTTCCTCTGCCCATGTCCCCTGCTCCCTTCTCCCCTCACCCTTCATCCCGCTCCCCTCTCTGCCCATCCCGCCCCCTCTCCCCGCGCCAGAGCAGGAGGATGAGATCCTGACAGAGCTGCTGCAGACATACGCGGGATGGGGAGGGGCGGAGGGGGAGAACGGGGCAGAGGAAGGTGGGGTGGAGGAGGGGGAGAGTGATTCAGCTGGAGGGGCCTTAGAGGCTTTCGGAAATGGCAGCAGAGGCTTAGAGGGCAGCAGCAGCAACGGTGGTGATGATGGCGGTGGTGGTGGCGGTGGTGGAGCAGGAGAAGGAGCAGTGGATTTCAGCATGGGGCTATCGAAGGTGCAGTTCATGTGGCTGGTGGCGGATATTCTCTTCACTGTGGCACAGGGGCTCGAGGACGACCCACTGTACCTGCCTGCCAACATGACCATTCTCAACCGCCCCTTCCTGCTCAAGGTGCGCCCTCTTTCGCATCTCAAAACTTCCTGCTCAAGGTGCGCCCTCAACCGCCCCTTCCTGCTCAAACTGTGCTCTGCACGTATGGGATGTGAACGCCGAGGATGGTCCAGTTTTTGCCTTTTCCCTACTCTATACCAACTACCCACCACCGTCTGCTTTTAGTTCAGAATCGGAGACTCACAATTGGCTTGCTGCGGCTCGAATCCTTATTCTTCTTTCACGTTTGAGACCTGAACGCTGAGGATGGTCCCCCTCGCCCTCCCTCTCCACTTGGCCTAGCTCTCTCACACGCGTCCTTCTGCTCTGCCACCACCTCACAGGCCGCATGTTCCTCTCCTGAGACTCCTCCAACTGCCTTCAGTCCCACTCATTCTTCTCCCTCGACCCATCCTTTCTCCTCACCTCACGCTTCCGTCCCTCCCATCCTTCTCCCTCCCTCCTCTCCACAAAGCAGATTCTCTCGGACGAGGCCTTCTTCCACCGCCTCACGGACCGCATGTTCCTCACATGGGACGAAACCGATCGCGGCATGCTCTCGCGCTCCGAGGTTGTAGCCGGCTTCTACTCCCTGGGGGTCGCCTACGGGCTCCCTGCAGTCACCTCGCGGGAGGAAGCCGATAGCATCTACCTCTCGCTCTTCCTCACAGCCGACTGCGACACAAGTGGGTTTGTGGACCGGGAGGAGTTTCAGTCGCTCATGCATTCTATCTTTCTGGGGGCAGCACTGCAGCTGCAGGCCACACGGTTACCGCCACAGCCGCTGCCGTCGCCGTTAGCTCCGGTGGGAGCTGGTCCTTCTGGGACCTCCTCCTCGTTCTCTTCCTTGTCTTTTTTCCGCCCGTTCTCCTTGTCCCTCCCCTCCATCCCATTCTCCGCTGCCCTTCCCTGGGGGGACTGTGCTGACAGCAGCACCACAGCTTTTCACAGCAGGGGCAGCAGCAGCAGCAGCAGGGGAACTGGTGCTGATCCTGCTGCTGCTGCTACAGTGGCGGATCTGCCGACCCTGACCGGCTTCAAGCTCTTTGACGGGCGGCGCGTGCGCAAGATGGTGCGGGCGGACGGCGGGGCTTGTCTTGACGTGTGGCTGAACAGTGCCTTTGAGGAACTCGTTACAAGCACATCGGATAGTGGAGATGGAGCAGGAAGGGGGGAATGGAAGCACGTGAGAGTGTCGGGGTCGAGGAGTGGAGAGGCGGAGGGGATTGATGTGGAGGGGCTCTCACTCGACAGCCCTGGTGGGGGCAGAACCGATGGGCAGATTAGTGAGGGTGGAAAAGGAGAGAAAGGGGAGAGTGGGGCAGGAGTGAGAGGAGAGCGAGAGAGAGAGGAAGGGTTCTCTGAGGGGCGTCGCAATGGGGGTGGAAAGAAGGTCTCATGGGGCGATGCTCTAGGAAATGGTCTGGAAGCGTCTGATGCAGATAAGGAGGATGTTAGCCGCCCGACAGACAGGCCCGTGGTGACGTGGGCGGCGTTGGAGCGGAAGCTAGTGCAGCAGCTGCAGACGCTGGGGATGCCGGGGGAGGGCGTATCTGAGGACTGGGAGCGGATGGTGCATGATATGGTTGCTAGAGAGAGAATGAAGAGCGGTGAGGAGGAGATGGGAGGGAGAGGCGGGGAGGCGGAAGGCGAGGAGAAGGGCGGGGGTGACGGGGAGGAGGAGGAGGAGGGGGGTGAGGAGGAGGAGGAGAGGAGGAGAGAGGCGGTATGGCTAGATAGGGAAGAGTTTGTTGCGGTGATGGCAAGACTTTTGAAGCAAGTCGGGCAGACGCTGCAAGGTGAGAGCGGGAGAGGGTTCAACTGGTGGGTGTAGAAGTAGGACGGACAAGTTACACTTGCAGGGTGGTTGAATCGTCTCAGCCGTTTCAGCATGTACGTGTGTGCATCAGGTGCACTGGCTTGCCATTTTGCCTCGACCCCAATCCCTGGCCCCGGCGCTAACCCCAATCCCAACCGCCCTCCCTTCTACTTCCACCCTTGCCACACCCCTTCCATGCCACCCCACACCCCTTTTATGCCACCTCACACCCCTTTGTACCACACCGCAAACCCCTTCATGCCACCCCCCAGCAGACACCCCTCTTCTGCTGCGCTCACTCGATGGCACTCTCATAAGGGCGTTCCTGCAGTGTTTGTCTAGTCACCTAAAGCATTGCATTGCATCCCTTCATGCCACTCCACCCTCATGCACCAGACACGCCTCTTCTGCTGCGCTCACTCGATGGGACTCTCATAAGGGCGTTCCTGCAGCACCCTTCCCGCCTCTCCGCTGCCATCCGCAGCACCTTCCAGGCACTAGACAACAAGGGATGGGGCGGCATGCCTGCCGCCCGCCTCGTTCCTGCGTTGCGTGTGATTGGCTTGTCTGCAGGACTGCCGTGCCGAGGAGGTGAGTGGAGTGTAGATTGATGCACTGTGCAAATCCAGGTGGCATCTCCCTCTGTGCACTTTCAATTCCTCGTACCCTATACGTATCTACTCTGGACATTGTTACTCACTTCCCAACAGCTCCCAACACTCGTGTTCACTGAATGATCATGGTTCTTTCTTACTCTGTTTGATGTTCTCATCCCTGACTTGGCAGTGAACACTACACTTGACATTTGGATATTACAACTCACAACAGAGCTCGCACCCGATCTTCAACACTTATCGGAGGAACAATTTTCTTCATTTGTCGTGGAATTTCTTGAAGCCCTTTCTGCCCGGCTAGCACAGGACCCTATTTATGTGCTTCACGACCTAGATGCGCCACAACGAGCTGTGGGATTGCCGGAGCTACCTGCTCCATCTCCCCGTATAGCGTGAAGTAATTTATAGCATACATGTATGATAAACAAGCAGTCTGATCACTTCTACACATATAAAGTACCATATACGAAGTAAACGCACTTCTACACTCGAACTCTGCCTATACGTCCAGCACCATCCAAGCTCGAGGTTGCGGCAGTGTTTGGCGGTCTGACGGACTCGTTATGACGCGGTGAAAGTGCTCGATCGGGGTTAGATCGATTCGGTCACCGCACTGAACCCTGCATCTTGGACAAGAAAGGTACACAACCTTTTATAACCGCGCTAAAAAACGAACCTTTGGCGATCGATCTCTTTCACCGCGTCCTTAGCTGACCTGGAAGAACAAGTTTGATCGGTATGGAAAGTGCCGAACCACTCTAGTCCGCTTTGGTTGGGCTTTCTGGCGGTCAATCCAATTCGGCTGACGCACAGCTCAGTTGAGGCTGGTAAGTAACGGTTCAAAGCGATGACTCCTACCAACTACTCTGAACCACACAAGGATCGTTCTCAATTCGTTTGAACGGGAAGCTGGGTGTTACGAGTGCAATTGAGTGAACGAACGAGAATTGCACTATCGAAGCAAGAATACAATGAGCAAGGGCGTGAGCGAAGAATATATAGCGAAACTACAGTGGTAACGGTAATGGTCTGTGGTAGTCGCGCGACGAGCCTGGGACTGAGGTTGGGAAAGTGTCGAGGCGTAGGCCCGGAGCGCGGGTTACCAGCCGAGCCGTGAGGTCGGGATGCGATGTGCGAAAAATGGCGGGATGATTGTCGATGCGATGATCGCGAGTGGTAACGGTGCTGTCTGAGGTGCTACAGTGATGTACGCGTTGAGCAGGGATGCGAAGTAAGGAAAAGGGATTTTCCTTACACTGCACCCCCCCTCCTAAGGAGTTCCTTCTTACGAAAGTGTGTGGACATCTTTGAAGTTTCGGCTGCGCAGATATTCGGTGAGGACAGGGTGGTTTTCAATTATGTCCAGGGGAACCCAGTTGTCCTCGGTAGGTATACGGTTTTTCCAGCGGATCAGGAACTCGATCTTTCGGGCTCCTCGGGGGTCGCGAACTCTGTGACTCAGGATTTTGTCGGGGGTGATGATTGGTTCGGATGGTGGTCGTGCCATGCTGGATGGTCGGTGTCGTGGGAGTTGGCCGGTGGATGGTACGTAAGGGCGAAGCAAGCTGACGTCGAATGAGGGGCTGACGTACCAGTCAGCAGGGAGGAGGAGGTGCGCGGTGACAGGTGTGATCATGTGGCTAATTCGAAATGGCCCACAGTATCGGGGGCGGAGTTTTGGAGTGATGGGCAGGCGGAGGTTTTGAGTGTCGAGTAAAACGAGGTCGTCGGGCTGATAAGTGACAGGTCTGCGGTGGCGGTCGGCGTTGCGTTTAGCGATGATGTTCGATTTTTTGATTGCTTCTGCTGCCCTGGTCCGTGCTGTTTGCAAAATCTCGGCAAATTGTTGCGCACGTGGAACGGGGTTGTCGGGATTTGGGGTCATGGGTACTGTGGGGTGTTGTCCGTAATTCAGGTAAAACGGCGACTGTTGGGTCATGGCAGATGGCGTGTTGTTGTATGCGAATTCGATGAGTGGCAGCTGCTGCTCCCACGTGTTTGGGTCGTCGCACGTGGCCCTAATGAGCTGCTCCATGGTCTGGTTTGTCCGTTCTGTCTGTCCGTTGGTTTCGGGGTGATACGATGAACTGAATTGTAGTCGCGTGCCGAACTGCTGCCACAGGTTCCGCCAGAAATTGCTGGTAAACTTCGTGTCTCTGTCGCTGATGATCGATGCTGGTATCCCGTGCAGTCGAACGACGGTGGTGATGAAGAGTCGGGCTGTTTCCTCGGCTGTGATTGTTTTCTTGCAGGCTGCGAAGTGTGCCATTTTCGTCAGTCGATCGACGACGACCGGGATCGCGTCATTCCCACTCGCCCCGGCTAGTAACCCCGTGACGAAGTCCATCGTCACTTGTTGCCAAGCACGCTCTGGAGGTGGGATTGGTTGTAATTGTCCCGCCGGCCGCTTCCTGGTTGACTTCATGAGCTGGCAAGTGGGACACGATGCCACGTGTCGTGGCACGTCGGTCAACATTTCAGGCCAGTAATAGTACCGCTGCAGCTGCTGCCGTGTTTTCTCTACTCCGAAACGTCCCGAGGTAACTCCGTCGTGTGCCTCCTGTAACAGTAATTCCCGTAGTAGTGTGTACCCTGGTACCCAGATGCGGTCGGTTCCAGCTTTTACGTAATAGACTCCCTTGGCTGCTGCGAATTGCTGCGAGTTTCCTCCTGTGAAGAATGGGTCTGTTTGATATCCGTGGGTAAATAGTCCTGTCAGTAGCGGACTGGTCTGGGCGAGTAGTATCGCATGGATCTGGGCAGTGGGGCGGGTCAGTGCGTCGGCGATATTGGAGGCTCCTTTTTTATAGGTGACCGTATAATGGAAGTTCGACTCGAGGAAGTCGAGCCACCGAATCTGTCGTGGGTTGAGGTGGGGCTGTGCACGGAGGTACTGTAGGGATCGATGGTCTGTCCGTACTGTCACGTCTGCGCCGGTCAAGTAGCAGCGCCACACTTTGAATGCATGCACGATCGCGAGCATTTCGCGGTCGTGTATCGGGTAATTTCGCTCAGGCGGATGCAGTTTGCGTGATTCGTAGGCGATGGGTTGGAGGCCGTTGCCGAAGTCCTGTAACAGTACGGCTCCGATGGCGATGTCGCTCGCGTCTGTAACAACCTCGAAGGGGCGATGTGGGTCAGCGATGCGTAGGACGGGTGGTGAACAGAGAACAGTTTTCAGGGCAGAGAAGGCAGCATGCTCTTTCTCCCCCCACGTAAAAACGACCCCCTTACGCAGTAAATCTGTGAGAGGGGCTGTTAAGCGTGCCATGTCGGGGACGAACCGACGGACGTAATTAACGAACCCTAAAAAACTCTGCAGTTCCGTGATGTTCGTCGGAGGACGCCACGCGTTGACAGTATCCAGCTTCTTAGGGTCGATTTCAACTCCAGCCTCCGAAATAACGTGTCCTAAAAATTCTAGCCTGTCCCGAAAAAACTCGCACTTGGAGCCCTTGGTGAGTAACCGATGTTCCGCTAAAATTTTAAAAACTGCTTCGAGATCGACTAAGTGCTGCTGCTTGTCCCGACTGTAAACGAGAATGTCGTCAAGGTAAACTATCACGCATTTATCTAAAAGTGGCTTAAACGCCTCGTTCATGGTCATTTGAAATGTGGCGGGCGCGTTGGTCAGCCCTAAAGGCATCACCGTATACTCGAATGACCCGTACCTAGTTCTAAATGCTGTCTTGGCGCAGTCCGATGGTTCGACCCGAATCTGATGGTAACCTCCTCGTAAGTCTATTTTCGAAAATACCCGTGCGATTCGTAACTGGTCGATTAGTTCGTCGGCCCGGGGGATGGGGTACCGTGATTTGACTGTTACCCTGTTAAGCGCTCGGTAGTCGATGCACATGCGAAACCCTCCGTCTTTTTCCGGTGTGAACAGTATCGGTGCGGCGAACGGTGACGAGCTCGGTCGGATAAACTGCTTCTCTAATAGATAATCTAACTGCTTCCTTAGTTCGTCGAGCTCGGGCTGTGTCACTCTGAACTGGCGCTGTACAGTTGGCTGTGCCCCCGGTTCTAACTCGATCCTATCGTCATGCGCCCGCTGAGGTGGCAGCCCTTGTGGTAAGTCATCCGGAAAGATACCCGGGAATCGTTTCAGTAGTGCCTGAAGTTCGGGTGGTACAGCTGCCAATAGTTTCTGAAAACCGCTCGGCAGCTCCTCTTCTTGCACTAATGCTATATCCACTGCGTACACGTCAGCTCCAGCAGCGACAGCCCGTTTCATCGCGATGGCGTTGACCTGGACCGTCGAAGACTCGGGTGGCTGCCAGCGAGGTAGGACGACCCAGTTACCACTATTTCGCACTGTGCAGCTACCCGTCGTCCAGTCAATTCGCGGGTTATACCGTCGCAGCCAATCACGTCCCAGTAAAATGTCGTGCCCATCCAGTGTCGTTGCGAGCATTTCCTGTGTAAACCCGAAGTTTCCTCCGCAGCGGACTTTTACTCGCTCCACCTTTTCCCGTATGGCTAGTGGCGTTCCGTTGATTAAGCGTGCATCTATCTCAGGTAAGCATCGGTTAAGTGTTAACTGTAATTTCCGTGCGGTTGCGGTATTAACTAAGCTGTGACTTGCTCCCCCGTCAATAAAAATCTTCACTGCTGCTCCATGTATTTTCCCGTAGATCAGTACCGGGCAATCCGTCGCTGTACCCTCCTTATTCATCCGAGCCCGATCGATGGCGTGAATCGGTACTGTGACTCGGTGAGGGTCGGTGTGGTTGGGCGAGCAGGCAGTCTCGTCAGTAGTTGGCCCAACTTCTACTGACTGCTGGCGTTTCCCTGCCTCTGAGACTCCCTCCCCTGCTCTGCTCCTCGGCGCCTCAACTCCTCTGGGCATTCGCTCTTGCGATGGCCCGGCCTGTTGCAAGCAAAGCAGCGCCCTTTAAACGGTGCGGCAGCTGCATTTGTTGCAACGGCGTGTACAGTGGCGTGCTCGGTCGGTCCCCGAGGGCGATGTCCGTAATAGGACCCCGGTCTCGGTC